GTATTAATGCCTGTATTAACGCCTGTATTAATGCCTGTATTAATGCCTGTATTAATGCCTGTATTAATGCCTGTATTAACGCCTGTATTAATGCCTGTATTAACGCCTGTATTAATGCCTGTATTAACGCCTGTATTAATGCCTGTATTAATGTGTTTCTTGTATGAGTGGAACTTAATCGTTGACTTCTGTGTCCTCAGCCTCCCTGTGGTCCGTGGTGAGTGGCCTCGCTGAGGGTACGGCTGCTGAGGCCACTGTGCTCTACGGCCTTCAGAGGATCAGCGGCAGAGGCGCTCTGGAGGCCACGACCCTCAGGAGCCTCGGCCTCAGTGGTGGCAGCGCCTCCCTCAGGTAAGCTGTGAGGCACGAGGCCTCAGTGGTGACAGCGCCTCCCTCAGGTGAGCTGTGAGGCGTGAGGCCTCAGTGGAGGCAGTGAATAACTGAGGCCAGTGGCCTCAATAACAAAGTACCTATAATTATGCCACTAAGGCAAAGTAGAACATCATAACATATACTATTTCAACCTTGCAACTTTATATTTGTTGTTAAGAAGAACATGCGTAAGTTCTCATAATGCATATTGAACTTACGCAACTTCTGACGAGCTTATATTATTATTATTATTATTATTAATATTATTATTATTAATATTATTATTATCATTATTATTATTATTATTATTATTATTATTATTATTAATATTATTATTATTATTATTATTATTATTATTATTATTATTATTATTATTAATATTATTATTAGTATCATTATTACTATTATTATTATTATTGACGAGCATATTGAACTTACGCACGAGCTGCGTAGGTTCTCATAGTGCATATTGAATACTAAGCGTCCTATCGCGTAGTATTGCAATACTTTTTTGATGCTATATATACTTTGATCACAGTCATGCTTGGCAGCAACTTGCTCCTTAAGTTGCTTAATTAAGAATTTAATTTTTAAATCTTTTTTTTCACAAAAAAGTGTGTCTAAAATGCCTCTATTTCATGTTATGAAATAACCCTGGTTATGGTACGTAAGCATTTTTCTCTTATTTAGAATTCAAGTTTTAAGTCAATCCTAGATTTGAAAAGCAAAGAAAATGCTAAGTAAATTTCTCATATTGTTATCAGAAACGTTTCGAAAACCAGTTCCACCATCAATTAAAATTAAAGTAGGGGTGTTATAGGCAGCAAAAATAGGTCGAAATTCAAGTATCAAAGCGGACTCAGTCTTGTAAATTTGGGGCAGGCATAGCGAGTCGTTCAAAAGCTAGAAAAAAGATTGATTAAATTCAATCCGTACCTGCTCGCCTTAGGTCTTGATTTTTCATTTTTTTACCGATTTTTATTACCGCTTTTAAATTAAACTTCTATAAATATTTTACCCTTTCCTCCTTATCACCGTCCTAAAATTCTTAGCAATTTCCTATTATAAGCCACTGTTCTCTAGATTTTTGAACTGATGGCGGGGCTGGTCTCAGAAACGTTTTCGGTAAAGATATGGTAAATAGTCCTTACTTTTTCTTTTCTTCCAAAGTATTGGTGAAGTTGCAATTTAAGCAGAATATTAGTATAAGGTACCAACGGGGGCGCTGCCGTGGGTAACAAAATTGACTCGTAAACAGGCCCTGGGCCCAACGCCAACCATCCGCATGTAATATCTACACATAGCCTCAGATCAATGAGCTGTGGGTAACTCCGGCTAACAGTAAATCCTCTGTGCACAACACAGCCACTGCTCCACAGCGCCGGAGCCCAACTGGCCGGAGTGCAACAGGCGGCGCAGGTTAGGTTAGGTTTCGTTAGGAGTAGCTGTTGCGGTAGGGCCTGTTGCGCTCCGGCCAGTTGTGCTCCGGCCTGTATGCGCTCCGGCCTGTGACTGAACTGCGCTGTTGCGGTGGGCGCTTTGTGTCAAAAGCCGTGAAGATGCCCGGCTGCGTTACGCTCTGGAAGGTATATGAAGGTATACGCTCGGGAAGGTATATGAAGTTATAGAGGTCACTCTGCTATGCTGACCTCTAGCTATCCACCCGTACCAACTGTTATCGGTCATTATGCTAACGGTTATCCTGCCAACAGGTTATTGCTACAGCAATCAGATGACCAACAGAGCGCTGGACAGCTCCCAGCGTCCAATCAGCGCTTGCCGGAAGTGATACCGGTCGAACCGCAGTTGCCGGAAGTGATTCCAGTAGAACCACAAATGCCGGAAGTGATTCCGGTAGAACCGCGAATGCCGGAAGTGATTCCGATGGAACCTCAAATGCCGGAAGTGATTCCGGTAGAACCACAGATGCCGGAAGTGATACCGGAAGCACCACAAATGCCGGAAGTGATTCCAGTAGAGCCACAGATGCCAGAAGTGATTCCAGTAGAACCACAAATGCCGGAAGTGATTCCGGTAGAACCACAAATACCGGAAGCACCACAAATGCCGGAAGTGATCCCTGTTTTGGACCAACATCCCCGGAACGAAAATTTATCAGAATTTTCATGTCCTGAACATGTCTCGGGAGCCGCCATGGACACGTCTGAGGAACCTTCTGTCCTCCATGACGACGTCGAGCTCTTAAGGCCTGACGCTGTGCACGTCGCCGCGGGACGTTACAAACCCAAGTCCCCCGACGTGGTGACGAGCAGCACAGCCGCCCCTGACGTCGTCATGACGAAAAACGACCCCATGCCTCGTCCACCTGACGTACTGGCCGCAGGTTTGTCGGAATTGGACGTTAGTTTGGGACACTTCACTACGATGACTATCTTATTTGTGTTCACTTCCATGCACTGCAGCACATCTCTAGCCTAATTTGTGTTCACTTACGGGCACTGTGCAGCACTTCACTACGATGACTAGTCTAATTTGTGTTTACTTCCATGCACTCTGCAGCACATCACTACGATGACTAGTCTAATTTGTGTTCACTTCCATGCACTCTGCAGCACAACGATGACTAGCCTAATTTGTGTTCACTTCCATGCACTCTGCAGCACATCACTACGATGACTAGCCTAATTTGTGTTCACTACCGAATTATGAACTCAGTGCTTTTAAACGAAGCAATGTTAACAATTTTTTTTTGCACGCCACAGGCTCGGTATTAACTTAATTCTATCAGTAATTTCCAGTTTTAACTTGACTTGAATGAGATGGATTTTAGATAGCATTTAGCTGATGGATTTTAGTACTGCGACTGCTTAACATGTTCATTCGACTACCTACTTAACATGTTCATTTGACTTCTTAACATGTTCATTCGACTACTTAACATGTTCAATCGACTACTTAACATGTTCCTTCGACTACTTAACATGTTCATTCAACTACCTACCTACTTAACATGTTCACTTGACTACTTAACATGTTCATTCGACTACTTAACATGTTCAATCGATTACTTAACATGTTCATTCAACTACTTAACATGTTTATTCAACTACCTACTTAACATGTTCATTCGACTTCTTAACATGTTCATTCAACTACTTAACATGTTCATTCAACTACTTAACATGTTCATTCGACTACTTAACATGTTCATTTGACTACTTAACATGTTTATTTGACCACTTAACATGTTCACTCGACTACTTTACATGTTCATTCGACTCCTTAACATGTTCATTCGACTACTTAACATGTTCATTAGACTACTTAACATCTTCATTCGACTACTTAACATGTTCATTCGACTACTTAACATGTTTATTTGACCACTTAACATGTTCATTCGACTCCTTAACATGTTCATTCAACTACTTAACATGTTCATTCGACTACTTAACATGTTCATTCAACTACTTAACATGTTCATTAAACTACTTAACACTCTGTTCAGTTCCGCCGCGCTAGTCTTCTCGAATATATGGAGATACATTCATATAGATTTTTCTAATGTTCAAATATCCCGGGAGACTGCGTCTTTGTGAAGTTGCATTTAATGATTTAATGTCTTTATGTATCTCGGTGTTAGTATTTAGGACTTATTTGTTTTATAGGTAATAAGAGATTTTGGCTTTTCAACTGTCTACTTATGACCTAGGATTTTCCTAAAAATCTAAGTATCTAATGTGTAGGACTTTGAAAACTTTCTCTCTAAGAAAGTAATTGTTTTTAGTTGTTGTTATTACAATTTATTGACAGCTTGGTCAGGTATTGTATTTAATCATGATGTCATGTGGTCGCGCATGCCTGAGAGACTTGACTATAGACATAATTTGCAATAAAGGAAGAAGCAAAGATTTAAGATAAGATGGTACACGCTTCATAAGCCCAAACATAACTTACCGGACTTCTAGCTGTACGCATGTGTACCTCCTACCAAAAAGGGTACTCAAAAGTTCAAAGCACGTGAAAGAAACACCGTGTCGCCGTTTTTATTCTAATTTAACACTAGAAATCCGTAAAACATCTGATAAAAACGGCGAAACAGTTTATTTTCACTGGGCGACCGGCCACTAGAACGCCAGTGGGACCGTTTTTTCACCGTTTTATCTAACAGTGTGGGAGATAAATGGCATTGTTAACTGCTGGGTAAATCCACGAGCTGCTGAGAACATACGAATAATAATTATAGACAATATTCTTTGACGACCGAATATACGCTTGTTCAGTTTATAGTATGCTGTACAGTTATACGCTGTCCAGTAATATGCTATACCGTTATACGCTGTCCAGTTATATGCTGTACAGTTGTATATTATCCAGTTATAGGGCTATAGAAGTTTGGGAATTTATTTTCAAAATTACACTAAATTTTCAACTATTTTTCAATTTTTGTGTTCAATTTTAAGTTCTCATTTTATTTTTATGTTATTTTTTAACGCTGAAAGTGGCCACTGTGAATGAGGCTGTTTGTTACTATAAATTCTAATGAATTAGTAAATATGACTATTATTTTATTTCAAGCCTAATCTCTGTATCATCAACATGCGGATTGCGTTTCCTTTCTCCAACCTGGGGTCATACTTTCAAAAAAAGTTAAGATATCGTAAGTCCATCAGCCAATCATTGACGGCCTTTCAAGCAAAATCCACCAATCATAGACGAGAAAATAGAGCGTAAGTACTTACGTTCACTTAGCGAGTTTTGAAAGTATGGCCCCTGAACGCTAACTAAAACCTTGAACGTAACCTAGACTATACACTGATATTATTTCTTAGTAACTCGATCACAGATTGAACTTGTAGCTATGATGCAACTGGCAGATTTCAACCTGTACGCATGTGTACCTCCTGCCAAAAGAAGGACTCAAAAGTTCAATGTTTGGTATGATAATACATTTAGAATTTTTTAATTCAAAAGCTTCTCTTTTTATTTTAACCAAATTGTTGACTATCGATATTTTGCAACAGTCAACCATCAACACCAACCTCGGCTGAAACTTATTACTACCTGGCAAGATTTACTGAATTTCAGCATTTGCACAGATTCAGCGCCAGGCCAGACTCCAGTGGAGGCCTTCAGTGGCCGCGGCCATTCAGTGGAGGCCTTCAGTGGCCGAGGCCATTCAGTGGAGGCCTTCAGTGGACAAGGCCATTGCCTGAGCCCCACGGGCCCTTCTGTGCCCCAAGCCCCGCAACAAAGCGGGGACTTGTGCCCCAGTCAATACATGGACGTGGACTCGACGCAGGACTTGGCTATAGCAGAGGTGGGTCAATCTACTGATATACTGTACATTTAGTGGGTCAATCTACTAATATACTGTAATTTTAGTCAGATAAATTACTATAAGTATATTGTAAATTTATGGAGATAATTTACTAAATATACTGTAAATTTAGTGAGATAGTTTACTAAATATACAGTGTATATTTAGTGAAGTATATTTTATACTGAACATGAACTATATTATATTTGTATACTTTTAACACATGTAAGCTCAGCTTGAGCCCATATGGCAGGAGTTAGCTCCTGTGCAATATAGGATTACTTATTATAAGCTGAATTTTTCGTACACTCTGAAAAATGAATGGACGAATTGTCCAACTAGTGACACACTTTCTATATGTAGCACTAATTCGTCCTAAAAAGTGCATCGCTATTTGGACAGAACAAGTCTCAAAATAAAAAATATAAGGACGTAAACAAAATATAAGGACTTGAAAAAACATATAAGGACTTAAACAAAATATAAAAAGTTAAAGAAAATATAAGGACGTAAACAAAATAGAAGGACTTTAACAAAATATAATAACGTAAACAAAATATAAGGCCTTAAACAAAATATAAGGACTTTAACAAAATATAAGAACGTAAACAAAATATAAGGACTTGAAAAAAATGTACGAACTTAACAAAATATAAGGACTTAAAAAAATAAAAGAACTTAAGAAAATACAAGGACCTCTACTAACCCTGGCCTGGCGCACCCAGTTGACGCGGCGGGGGGCGGTGGTGTTCGACGCGGGGGACGAGACGGCGAATCTACTGATATACTGTACATTTAGTGGGTCAATCTACTGATATACTGTAGGTACATTTAGTGGGTCAATCTACTGATATACTGTACATTTAGTGAGATAGTTCACTAAATGTATTGTATATATGGATATATTGTAAATTTATTGAAATAGTTCACTAGATATACTCTATCTGTGCGCGCTCGGCATCAACGCGTGTAAGCACAGCTTGAGCTCATACGGCAGGAGTTTGCTTATGTGCATTATAGGATTAATTATTATAAGATGAATTGTGTATTGTTTTACGTACCGTACTGTATTGTTAATTGTTGTAATTGTGCTTACTGAAAAAGTGAATGGACGGATTGTCCAACTTGTGATACACTTTCTATACGTAGCGCTAATGCGTCCTTTTGACTGCTGGACAGCTGGGTTAGGATGGCCACCACTGGGGCTAAAAAGTGCATCGCTATTTGGACAAACGAAGTCTCTCAATTTTTTAGTGTACAATCGAACAATATTTAAAAATAAAATGTGTAAGGACTTAAGAAATATATACCAACGCAAAGAAAATATAAGGGCTTAAACAAAATATAATGACTTAAACAAAATATAAGGACTTAAACAAAATATAAGGGCTTAAACAAAATATAATGACTTAAACAAAATATAAGGACTTAAACAAAATATAAGGGCTTAAACAAAATATAATGACTTAAACAAAATATAAGGACTTAAACAAAATATAAGGGCTTAAACAAAATATAATGACTTAAACAAAATATAAGGACTTAAACAAAATATAAGGGCTTAAACAAAATATAATGACTTAAACAAAATATAAGGACTTAAACAAAATATAAGGGCTTAAACAAAATATAATGACTTAAACAAAATATAAGGACTTAAACAAAATATAAGGGCTTAAACAAAATATAATGACTTAAACAAAATATAAGGACTTAAACAAAATATAAGGGCTTAAACAAAATATAATGACTTAAACAAAATATAAGGACTTAAACAAAATATAAGGGCTTAAACAAAATATAATGACTTAAACAAAATATAAGGACTTAAACAAAATATAAGGGCTTAAACAAAATATAATGACTTAAACAAAATATAAGGACTTAAACAAAATATAAGGGCTTAAACAAAATATAATGACTTAAACAAAATATAAGGACTTAAACAAAATATAAGGGCTTAAACAAAATATAATGACTTAAACAAAATATAAGGACTTAAACAAAATATAAGGGCTTAAACAAAATATAATGACTTAAACAAAATATAAGGACTTAAACAAAATATNCGCGTGCCGTTTACGGTCGCCTCGCGTGCCATTTACGGTCGCCTCGCGTGCCGTTTACGGTCGCCTCGCGTGCCGTTTACGGTCGCCTCGGGTGCCGTTTACGGTCGCCTCGCGTGCTGTTTACGGTCGCCTCGCGTGCCGTTTACGGTTGCCTCGCGTGCTGTTTACGGTCGCCTCGGGCGCCGTTTACGGTCGCCTCGGGCGCCGTTTACGGTTGCCTCGGGTGCCGTTTACGGTCGCCTCGGGCGCTGTTTACGGTCGCCTCGGGTGCCGTTTACGGTCGCCTCGAGCGCTGTTTACGGTCGCCTCGGGCGCCGTTTACAGTCGCCCCACGCGCCTGTTTCGGCCACCATATTAACCAGACGTCGTGCCGGCAGGCGATGTTGTGGTGCAGGCGCGCTTCCGTCCTACAGACGAGGTGCAGGACGTGGCTGTCTTCGTCTCCTCTCTCCTTAAAGACGAATCCCTGGAATTTGATCTCCGTGAGTATTCATAAGAACTCCATGAACTCCTTTTATCTTCTTCCATTAAAAAGTATCATTACTACCATCATTAATACTTTGGTTCGTTTTTATGCTGTATCTCTTTTGTGTATAGTATTTCAGTAAATACGAAACAATCTCTTTCTACGTCAGTTTAAAAAATAGCATATTTATCATCACAACACTCGTTGGCCTTAATTCTAGCTTCGTCTTTTCTTATGCGGGTTTATTCTGTTTGAAAATGATGAATGATGACGTCATCGCTATTCCTCAACTTCAGTATTTTCACTAAACACAGAGTGCGTTCAAAAGTTGTTCACAGAACTCCACCGATCCTCTTCAATGGCAGGGCACACATCCTATCTTATTTGTCGAAATCACTTGCCTTCTTCCCAGTGATGATGCTACTGAGAAAAAATTCTTTTATTTTTAGAGACGTCCAATACAATAAGCTAATCTTGTTTTTTTTTTTTTGACATCGTTATAACATCTTCCGCATCAAAACACGACACTGATAATGTATGTTCAGTATTTTGTTCAGTGACGGTAACTCTTGTTACCACGAATTGTGCTACGACAACTTGCTTAAGTGCACGTACCGTAGCGGCCTTAAGTACACGTACTTGCTTAAGTACACGTACCGTAGCGGCCTTAAGTACACGTACCGTAGACCTTATGTACACGTACTTGCTTAAGTACACGTACCGTAGCGGCCTTAAGCACACGTACCGTAGGCCTTATGTACACGTACTTATAACTTAAGTACACGTACCGTAGCGGCCTTAAGCACACGTACCTTAACGCCCAATTTCTTGTCTGTCATTGGCGGGCTTACCCTGAGAAGCCGCCAGTAATTGGCTGTCGGTGTTAGGAACGCGTCTTTTTTTTTGCAGTATGACCCATGATAATTTTTTACCAGATGACCCATGATAATTAGATCCAAATTAGTTTATTTATTAATTTATATGCATAAAAAGGCTTAAATAATTTTATATTTTGCAGTGAACATGTTCCCGCGCGTGCCGCTGTCGCGCGTGCAGACGTTGCACGCGGCAGGCTTGGTGCCGCGCGCGCGTCTGCTCTTCACGCCCCACGGGCGCGCCAAGCTCCTGCCCGCCGCCGACCTCCTGAAGGCGAGCGTCCTGTCGCAGCTGGCGAGCTACCAACGCGCTCAGGACGCCCTCATGGCAGCCAGGTGCCTAAGTCATTATCTATAATTTAAGAATTAATCTCTTTGCATAGTTAGAAATTTACTGATATCTTTGTTTTCATGTCTGCGAATTCAGCGTAAATTAAACGTAACGCAAAGTTGCCTAGTGTAAATCAAACATAACGCAAATTTGCCTCGTGTAAATCAAATGTAAATCAAACGTAACGCAAAGTTGCCTAGTGTAAATCAAACATAACGCAAAGTTGCCAACAAAGCAATGACGTCAATGATGTATTTTTACTGGAAAAGATCCGGGGTATGTTGATTCGAGCAGGTAAAAAAAATGTTATCAATATGCTTTACATTAGACAATAAAGTTTCGCTAAGATTTAAAATTTTATGTATAGTTAGAAAAAGAATTATAATCCAAAAAGCAGTTTTCGTAATAAAGGTAAACTTATACTAAATAGAATGCTTTTGGCCAATAGTTTAAAGGAGGCCACCACCGCCTGTCGAGCCAATAGTTAGATGGCAGCCATCATAATTTCATTTTAATAAAAAATTTAATGAATTTAATTGTTCGAGTCAGAAAATTTTATTGCGTTATTAAAATGTGAATACAAATATGAATATTTTCTGCTTTTATTCAAGAGTAAATCATCTCGTCCCAATATCAAACGTGACACTCAACGGCCTGATGATCGCAACTTTAAAGCTCTCACACGTCCAGTATCCTCAGAGGTTATAATGTTTCGTAGTACCCCAGTCCTACGTTTCACTCACTTACGTCTGAATGTAGTGACCCACATGACATTCGATTTCTGTTTCGGGATATTGGTCAATGGGATTAAGTTCATGAGGTTCCGAAAAGCGCGCTGGTCTTCTATCACTGAACTTAGCCCTCTACCGCCGTATGTCACTCCCCGGGAACATAACTTTCAACTTAAATTATACGTAAACTATTGAGTGTAGCAACCTGAGGACGTTTGTACGCAACAGAGAACATTTTAAAGTTGTCATTTGATCTATAATTCAAGATTTAATCTGTTTTCATAGTTAGAGATTTCTTGTTATTTTTGTTTTCATGGCTGCGAATTCAGCGTAAATCAAACGTAACGCAAGGTTGCCTAGCGTAAATCAAACGTAGCGCAAGGTTGCCTAGTGTAAATCAAACGTAGAGCAAGGTTGCCTAGTGTAAATCAAACGTAGAGCAAGGTTGCCTAGTGTAAATCAAACGTAACGAAAACGTAGCGCAAGGTTGCCTAGTGTAAATCAAACGTAACGCAAGACGCTGGCCTGGAGGCTAGGCATCCGTATTGGCCTCCACGCAACGAGAAGCTGCCTGTGATGAACTCTCTTCACAAATGATCTCAATGTGCTGTGTGCACAATTTATGTCGATGTGTTGTGCGGTGTGCAACAAATTTTTTATATAAGTTGTGTGCAGTTCCAGGAACGACAGCGCCTCCTGCAGCAGCACCAGCGCCCCCATCAGCGCCCCCAGCAGCAGCGACGCCCCTATCAGCAGCAGCAACAGCGGCGCGGTGCCCAAGCGACCAAAGTGGTTCAAGCTCGGCAAACAGTGACGTGAGTTACTCTAGTGGAGCGCGCCATAATAATGTCATATCATTATATAATACGCGAATATGTAATAATATTACATCATTTTATAATACACAAATATATAATATTACAGTATTATATAATACAAAAATATATAATAATATCGTATTATTATATAATACACGAATGTATAATAATATCATATCATTATATAAGACAGAAATATATAATAATATCGTATTATTATACAATACACAAATATGTAATAATATCATATTATTTTATAATACATAAATATATAATAATATCGTATTTTTATATGATACACGAATATAATGTGGTCTGATTTGGTCAAGCCATGTTTGCCGGTCACTGGTTCTTAACCGCTCGGCCACCATTACGATTTTTCCACAACCAGTTGCGTGTTTCGAACCCCCAACACCCTGTTCCAGTCTTGTTGATCCTAACCACTATGCATCTCCTAGTGGTTAACCCTCTACCGCCGTATGTCACTCTCCGGAATATAACTCTCAACTCAAGTTATACGTAAACAATTGAGTATAACAGCCTGAGGACGTATGTACGCAACAGAGAACATTTTAAAGTTGTCGTACGTGGCGGCAACCATCAGTGCAAGTCATGTTGCGCTCACCAGAACGTATCCTTTTTGGGAAGTAGGCTTGTGACAATATTGCTCCGGTTACTCGCGTCAGGCGGTAGAGGGCTAAAATTAATAATTTAATGTTTTTTTATGTCTGTGTGTGATGCAGGGAAAGTTATTTTTTTGAATTTATTCTCAAACAAGCATATTAATAGTTCCGTTTTAAAGTAAGTTGAACATTGTTGCTTTTTTTAAATGCGCGGCCTTAAAATAAATGTTGCAATTCCGAAAATAAATGTTGTAATTCATTAAGAAACTAACTATGCTCGTTTGTATTGTCTTATACATTTGCGAGAGTGAACTTTTCAGTCGAATAATTTTCTTGACGTCTCATCATGACCTGGTCTTCTTTACTTCTATGTAGTGTACAGTGGGACACGTCAATTATTTTAATTATACAAGTGAAATAATGAACAATAGTTTGGGTACCATCACATGACTCAGTACATTGATTGATTCTGAAGTCCTGTTAAATATTACCTTTTAATATATAAAATAATTCAGATTTCCCAGTTTGCCCAAACATATTTTCTCGAAATCCATTTAATTTAATTATTAATCGAAATTTAATAATTAATTCTGCGTCTCGCTGAGCAGGGAGGATATCTCCGCACCTGCAAGCGGGGCCGAAGCTTTTAAAAAATTTCACAGGGTGGCGATTTTTACTTCGTTTCTTTGAGTGCTTAAAGATTTTAGGCGCGATATAAAATATATTGAATACATAAACGTGCATTGTTTCTTATTACCTAAACTTTTTAGTTAAAAAGCAGTGATTACCTAAACTTTTAGCAGCCGTGTTCGCCATCCTAGGGAAATGCAAGTTAACGAGTCTGCCATTTGGAATTTGTGAATTGGTAGTCAAGCTTCAGCTCAAGGTTACACGTCATCCCCATAGGGATGTGATAGAAACGTCCTCATTATCCTTGCAGTAGCAAAGCTTGCCTTTCAAATTACAGTCTTTAATCGATTTAAATAAGAAGGGAAAATTGATGTAAAGTGCCTTGTACCGAGAAGAGGCTACGCACATTTGCTATTCTTTCACTGGGGACCAATCGTAACGCTGAATAATTACATCAATATATAAATAATATATTTGCATATCACGCGAAGAATACAAACAGAAGTACGTCAAGGTGAAAATCTCAGTGCATATAACCCAGAGGTATTTCATTGCCACTAATTCAAGAATTTGATCAACTATCATGGTACGAAATTGTAATACTCCTAACATGAGTCAACGGTAACACGGTGAACACATGTGCGCTATGTGAGTTAAAATCTCACGTCGAATGCAAGAGATGCAAATTCAGATAGAATGGTAACGAAATTCAATTGTTGACAGTAAATAACTACCAGTGCAGAATAACATTCAAGGCTCAGCTAATTCGTAAACGCTTCAGTCACACATAAAAATATAAAAAATAATTCTTAGAGACTAGAATGTCGTTAGTAAATACCTGCTAAAATTTATTAGAATTCGCCGATGAGCCATAACGAACTTTATAGACATGATGGATCCTTCAACATCAATAACTTCATCAACATCAACAGTGGAGCTTTCTTATCATCTCTTGAGAATATTTACTGTTGAACTTTGTCAGGCAAGTCTCTATTTTGATACAAGATTCCTCGACAAGCAGCAGCTACATTAAATACAGTACATCTAATGGCCATATTGTGCACATACAAAACCACTCCTAAGCATTTGGTGCTATTACACACGCGTTGATATCGCTAGAGGAAATATTTACTTTCAGAAACAACGTGAAAAGTTGGCAAATAATAAGAAACAGACAGTTCTCTAAATTTTTTATATATATCTCACAAATCATATAAAGGCTGTTGAGATAGAAGACATAGGCATTGAGTTGATCATTTATATACGTAAAAATAGAATATTCAATTCAACATGACCGACACAACCGTCAGAGGAAGTGACTATATATATTCTATGGCAAATTTCCCTTCCACAAACGCAAGATTAAAATAATAAGTTGCTAATAAGTGCGAATATTTAACAGATCCAAAAACATTGCCTTGACCAACGATAAAAGAGCACACGTTTGCCTTCGAATGATACTTAGTTTGGCTGTAATTACATAATTTGATGTAACACTAGGGAAAAATGTTTAAGCAACAAGTTTAATCGAGTTACAATATTTTTAAATGCCGAATATAAAATATGTCTTGAACGTTCCACTATTGTCTATATAAGCCAAACCTAAAAACGCATAAAAGTTATGTTATGTTATGCAAAAAGGAGAACAAATATGTGGCAAAATATTATTTATTAAAGTAAGAAAAGTTGTGAAACTGAAATTTTTGAAGGTCAAGATCAATGTTTTAGGAAGCATTAAATGTTCAGCTTGAAGAGCAGTTGCGACACGTGGGCCCACAACACAGCGGCTAGCAGCACCAGCAGCACCAGCTAGCAGCACCAGCAACAGCACCAACCAGTAGCACCAGCTAGCAGCACCAGCCAGCAGCACCAGCTAGCAGCACCAGCAGCACCAGCTAGCAGCACCAGCTAGCAGCACCAGCTAGCAGCACCAGCTAGCAGCACCAGCCAGCAGCACCAGCTAGCAGCACCAGCAGCACCAGCCAACAGCACCAGCTGTAGGCCCAGGGTCGCGCCCTTTAGCCTCATCCTCCTCCAGCAGCGCCGCCCCGGCGAGGTGGGCGGTAGCCTGCGTACGAGCCTCCGCCCAGCAGGGGGTTGTAGTCTGTAACACAGACACCAGTTACACATCTCACACTGTGTGTTTTGTGTGTAATATAAACAAAACACAAACATAACAGTCAACTTTCAATGACTTCAATTCAACACAGACACCAGTTACATTTCTCTTATAATCCGAGTTACACATTTTTATGAACAAGATAACTAGCAGTTTATATATTCTCATAGATTCAACTGATAAAAATATAGATCTATTAATAAAATCACCGTCATTATCTTGCATGGCTGATTATGGCACTGCAATAGTACTGAAGACACATCAGAAAAAATTGACAAATGTGTTACCTAAAAGCAATTTACTGAACAATATTTCATGGGTAGAGAAAGATACCGTAGTTCTTACCTACTCAACAAAGGCTCAAAAAGACACGTGTAAGACACTATACACTACCAACAGCTTCATATCAAATGACCTATTATTCAATGTTGACCACATGACCAGAGTTGAACATATAAATAAATCAACACTTATTCCTGAAATTACGTATGTAAATAAACTGAGGCACTAAAAAACACTCACGATTGCGGCACCCAATTGACTGCAGTGCAATCACCGAGATCTGCACACTGCAACAAGTTAAGCATCTTACCAGGTCTGAGTGCCGACGGCTTCTTGCCTTCACTTTTAGCTTTGTTCTTCTCCATGGAGCATCTACTCCAAGGGTTGCTGGGCTCCATGGGTCACTGGACTCCATGGGTCGCTGGACTCCATGGGTTGCTGGACTGACAATATTAGGCATACTGCAACAAGTTAAGCCTCTTACCAGGTCTGAGTGCAGACGGCTTCTTGCCTTCACTTTTAGCTTTGTTCTTCTCCATGGAGCATCCACTGGGTCCTGGAGCAGCAGCTCCTGCAGGTGCTGCAGATCTCAAGCTCCTGCCGCCCTCACCGCGCTGCTGCGCCTCCAACAGCGCCAGACGCTCCTGCCTCTTCTCTTCCTCTCTGCACGACATCAGTACAATAATTATAACCTTGATGACATCAGTACGATAATTGTAACAAATGATTACATCACAGCAGTGACCATGAACATCTTAACCCAGATTAAAACATGTCAGGCAGCTAAACAGAGAAAATTAGGCAATAAGCATACAACAGACGGCACAGAATTATAAAACTTTACACATTGAATTGGATGAAATACCAGCAGACATGAGTCAGTATAAAGCAACTATTGGGCATTTAACAAGCGTATCGTGGCATGTTTAAGTCAGTAACATGGATTGGGAACTAAAATGTTGAAGGTACAAACTAACCTGAGCTTCTGTTTTTGAGCGTACAGCGCAGAGGCCGCGTCGTACTGCTCCTGCATGCGCCGTCTGGCACTCTCAATGGCTGCCTCGCGCTGAACTAAAAGATAGATAATCAGAATGTTGCTTTTACAAATTTCATTCCGGATTAATATTGTTACATAAACAATACAAATGCTGTTCTCATCTTGCCTGTTGCATAATTGATTAGTAGGTAGTAATTTGGCGATAGAAGGGGAAATTGCCTTGTATGGACATAAATGAAAATATTAGATATAATAATTTTGAAGTGAAGAAACTAATGCAATTTAGGTATAGTATCCAATCACATTCTGCAGAATAATTGATGCAAGAGTTTCTATCATTGAAGCTCACTCTTATGATAAAGTGCGGCCTCCTGCTGCTCTGCCCTGCGCTGCTGCCACTGCTGCAGCAGGTGTCCGTATCGTCTCCACAGCCACAGCACCAGCAGCAACACCAACAAGCATGGCCACCCATAGCTGCTCACAAACTCCACCAGTCCAGTGATGGCCTGAACAAATAGTTAGATCTTCATTAATTCAAAGTCAGAAGAATAATACATAATATACTTGGATAAAATCAGGATGAAGGATACTAATTTCAACTACCCTCAACTGGGGTGCTTTAGCCACTGGGGTGACTTTGGCCAAAGTTTATGATTTTGTTTTGCTGCCAGTGTTTCTGTTGTAGTTGTGTTATGTTTTTGATTAAAATCAATTGTATATCCTGCTTGATTTGGCCAAAGTCACCCCAAATTTTGCCAAAGTCACCCCATTTGATGGTAAGTAAATAATGACATCTAAACATGTGGCTTCATGTTGAACTTAGTGAGAGAATGCAGGAATGTTTAAAGGAAAAAATTACATTATTATATGTATGGAAGATATGATTATTGCCTATTTGTCAATTTAGCAGTCTCAAAAAAGTATACCTATACATAAAAAATAAGTTCGGGTGTTATTTTCATTGCAAGTAAACAAGGATTTTCGGAAATAATCGAAAAAAAATTAGATAAACCAATAGAGAAAGCACTAGAAAGAGAGAAATTAGTGTAATAGAAAGGAGATTATGTAGCATAATAAAATAACAAGTGTTTTTTGTAGTTAAAACTAATAATGATCCTTCATTGTGATATGAAAAAAATTAAAGCACCCAGAAGATCCTCATTGATTTGGTTAGATAGTAAAACATTGTAGAAACTTTGACCAAACATTAAGCAAAATAATTTATGCCTTGAAAATAATTGAATTAATCCACAAAATAAATGAAAATCAGACAAATTAGTTGTACCTATTAGTTATTGCAGACAAAAGTCAACATTTATCAACTAATTACTGATGCCATGCATAACTTAAGTTTCACACCCACATCAATTATATACTAGGTATATCTACATTCTTACATCTCCTATGTCTCAATTGTATGGAACATACTGAGCCTACTGACAAAGCAGAACATTTTTTTGCTGCCCATCCCCAAGATCATTTTTGAGTACTATAAGCAGAGGCAGACCAGGAAGTATCTTGGATACCACTACCAGCATTATCATAAATAAGAAATTGACTAAAATATTGAGTTGATTAGGAAATTAAAAATGAACTGCTTTTTAAAAATTTGTGGTTTGCCACTATGGTATGGAAGCACTGCATATGAGTTCCTCAAATCTCAACGACTCAAGAAAAATACAAACACAATAAAGATTATAGTCTCTTATAACAAGTTCTTAAGAGGCGTGTAATATCAGCTAGTGCATATGAATAAAAAGATGCACAAAGTGCAAGAAAAATAAGGTGCTTGGGAAATGCTATGAAAATTGTGCATCAAGTGCCATGGTAATTAGGTATAATATTTAGAATAAGTTTAAAAAGAATTCATCTTCATAGAATGTCTAAGGTCTCCACTGTTCTCCACCAGTCTATGGTCTCCACTATTCTCCACAAGTGTATGGTCTCCACTGTTCTCCATTCATGAGTCTATGGTCTCCCCTATTCTCCACCAGTCTATGGTCTCCACTGTTCTCCACCAGTCTATGGTCTCCACTGTTCTCCATTCATGAGTCTATGGTCTCCACTGGTCTCCACCAGTCTATGGTCTCCACTGTTCTCCATGAGTCTATGGTCTCCACTGTTCTCCATGAGTATGGTCTCCACCAGTCTCCACGAGTCCAATGGTCTCCACTGTTCTCTATGAGTCTATGGTCTCCACTGTTCTCCATGAGTCTATGGTCTCCACTGTTCTCCATGAGTCTATGGTCTCCACTGTTCTCCATGAGTCTATGGTCTCCACTGTTCTCCACGAGTCTATGGTCTCCACCGGTCTCTACGAGTCTATGGTCTCCACCGGTCTCTACGAGTCTATGGTCTCCACTGTTCTCCACGAGTCTATGGTCTCCACTGGTCTCTACGAGTCTATGGTCTCCACTGTTCTCCACAAGTCTATGGTCTCCACTGGTCTCCATGAGTCTATGGTCTCCACTGGTCTCTACGAGTCTATGGTCTCCACTGTTCTCCATGAGTCTATGGTCTCCACCGGTCTGCATGAGTCTATGGTCTCCACTGTTCTCCACGAGTCTATGGTCTCCACTGGTCTCTATGAGTCTATGGTCTCCACTGGTCTCTACGAGTCTATGGTCTCCACTGGTCTCTACGAGTCTATGGTCTCCACTGGTCTCTACGAGTCTATGGTCTCCACTGTTCTCCATGAGTCTATGGTCTCCACTGTCACGAGTCTATGGTCTCCACTGGTCTCCACGAGTCTATGGTCTCCACTGGTCTCCACAAGTCTATGGTCTCTACTGGTCTCCACAAGTCTATGGTCTCCACTGGTCTCCATGAGTCTATGGTCTCCACTGGTCTTCATGAGTCTATGGTCTCCACTGGTCTTCATGAGTCTATGGTCTCCACTGGTCTCCACTGGTCTTCATGAGTCTATGGTCTCCACTGGTCTCCACGAGTCTATGGTCTCCACTGGTCTCCATGAGTCTATGGTCTCCACCGGTCTTCACGAGTCTATGGTCTCCACCGGTCTTCACGAGTCTATGGTCTCCACTGGTCTCCACGAGTCTATGGTCTTCACTCTTCTTTATGTCTCTCAGATGTTACAGATCAGTTATGTCTCTCAGATGTTACAGATCAGTTTAATTCTTTTTCAAAATAAGGAACAACATAAGAAAAATTATAACAGATTGACCATAAAATGATTATTGTGGATTGTAAATAATCAAATTGTTTTATAGTCCTAAACTAAGATTGCCTTGTTAAAGATATGTTGATACACAACCTTAACAAAGATGAAACATATTACTTATATATTAAAGAATGTTAATTGTTCCTTCCTTGGACATTAATATACTTGAAAATATCAGCCATAACCATATCATACAAAAACTTATTTATGCCATTAAATAAAAGACATGTGAGCTTCAATAACATTGCCTTGCCCAAGTAATGATAATTAAAGAAGGCAAGCAATTATTTTTAAATTAATTATAAACCCACCTGAGTTATAAGCCATGGGGATGGAGGCTCGTGAGCTTCAATTGGAGGCTCAGCAACATTCTCAATTTGTCTCCCTCCTCCCTCCTCCATTTCCAATTGATCTAAGTCTTGCTGCAACTCTTCAGTAAATTTTGTGTTATTCTATGAACTGAAAATATCTAAGGACAAGTAGGAAATACAGGCATTATATATACCACCTAATGCACCTATAGGTACTTAAATTATTTCGACCTACAATCAAATGGGGTAAAAAGGGGCAGTCCTCCAACATTTTGTAGAAATGTTGTAGCAGCTAAACTAATCAAAATATTGCAAAATTAAAAATAGTGGCATAAAGTTCAACATTTTTACTATCTATGCAGCATAAAGCAAGTTGAGAAATCATACATTTATTACCTCTAAAAAATCCCTGAAAAAGTGTGAGAAGTGAGATTTTGGAAAAGTACCTCTGCTAAGGTCTGTAACAGAAAATATATGTGTCATATTGAAAAATCTTACTTACATAAAAGTTGCACACTGATGTTGGCTTAAAATGTGATTGACAGAATTTGCATACCGTCAAACGGGGTAAAAAGAGACGGTTTTGAGCATTTTTTGGTTAATAACTTCTTACCATGAAACATTTCAGAAACAAGTATAGGCTCATTTTATAGCTCTTTGCAAGGGCAATCAAATGGCATCTTCAAAAAAATTCCATAAGCTATTTGTAAGGCGCTAGACGCAATATAAAAGGCTCCTGAATTAATCTTGAAATGAGGTAAAAAGGGACACTTGAAATAAAACTCAATTTCAAACCTTTGAAGCATGCAGAGTGTGCTCATCTATTACTAACAGTACTCTGAAGTCCTCCTCTTTCATTTTAGATGATGTAGATGTAAAATAAATGACATTTTCTGTGATTTTTACTTTTTTTTCCTTTATTGATATGATATTACCATAATCATTAATTACCGTATTATTAATGTGATATTACTGTATGCATGGACATGCTACTGAGCATTGACAATGACCTTGTCCACTGCAAGCTTCATATTAGCAGCCATGTAGCATTTTTTCTGTATCTGTAAGCTTACAGGATGGTTTGTAATTTTGCACAATTTTAATCAAGTCTAGTGATTTCATTATAACAAAAAAGATCATGAAAAACACCTGAAACAGAAAATAATGTTTTAGTAACAACATCATATGTTTTGAAGAAATAAATCATAGTTTAGGTCAATTACCTACTTTTCATTCTATGATGCCCGGTGCACAATTCTATATATAGCATTCTATGTACAATTTTGTGACGACCAATGATGCCCTAATTTTTCAATAAGTGAATTTTCTTTTGCCAAGCGAGGTAAATGTAATCAAAATTCTTTTTGTTAATCAATTTTTTTTGTTAACTGGAGCCTTTGCTAACTGAGTATCTACTGTAAATGCATTTTTAAGGGTGTCCCTAATTACCCCAGGGGGGTGTCCCGAGTAGCCCCGTCGCGCAAAAATGGCTACCATTTTTTTTGGAATGAGATAGGCAAATTCTGTCAATTACGTTTTCAAGCCGACAACTGGGTGCAACTTTTATGTATGTAAAATTTTTCAATATGGCAAATATTTTTTTTTTTTGCTCCAGACCTTAGCAGAGGTACTTTTCCAAAATCACACTTTTCACACTTTTTTCAGCGATTTTTTAGAGATAGTAAATGTTTGATTTCTTGACTAGCTTTATACATAATAGATAGTAAAATTGTTGAGGTTTACGCCACTATATTTAATTTTGCAATATTTTGATTAGTTTAGCTGCTACAACATTTCTACGAAATGTGGGAAGCGAGTCCCTATTTACCTCGCCCGTCCCTTTTTACCCTGTTTGACGGTATCTCATTCCAAGAAAAAATGATGGCCATTTCTGCAAAACGGGGTATGGTAATAAGGGACACCGCCCTGGGGTAATAAGGGACACCCCTAAAACAGCATTTACAGTAGAGCCTTGGTTAGCACCACACTCAGGATGATGTATGTTTTCGGTGAATTTTCCCGCGCATTTTCACTTTTTTTAAGCTATTGCTGTGCACAGTTGGCGCAATGTAATGAAAATTGATTATCTTTGCGCATGTGTTCGCGCAATCCCGGCCATCTTTATTTTAGAAGAAATTTTCTCCAAAGTCATATGGCAACACTGAACACCGTCTGTTTACATTTCGTATGTATAACAGCCGCAGTTTACGATTACCGTACGTTCCGTATCTGACAAGGTGGACAACTGGAAGAGTCAGAAGTAACCCTGACATGTCTTACATTTTATTATTGTCAGTTCGACTCGCATAGTCAATATACTCGCATATATTGTCAACTAAAATAGTAGAACTATTTTAGCTTTCTAAAGTACGGCGCATGACGCATTTTTTTACCAACGTAGTACGGCGCACCGCGCAGGTCGTTAAAATGACAAAATAAATTCCCGCGCACCTGGCACATCTTCCTGACCATGGGGTTAGCAAAGGCTCCAGTTAATGAAAAAATCAATCAACAATAAAGAAATTTGATTACATTTACCTTGCTCAATGCTCAGTGAAAAAACTTACTGTGAAAAAAACAGTGAAAAAAATTACTGCATCAGTCATTACAAAATTGCGCATAGAATGTAAATAGGTAGATAGAATTGAGCACTGGGCAACAAAGAATAAAAAATAATAACCTAAACCATGATTTATTTCTCCAAAAAATACGATGGTTGTCACTAAAATATTCCTTCCTGTTTCAGGTATGTTTTTTACAATCTTTTCTATTATAGTGAAATCACTTGACTTGATTAAAATTGTGTGAAATCCAGAGCCATCCTGTAACTTGTAAGGCGTAAGCTTACAGATACAGAAGAAATGCTACATAACATGGCTGCTGATATGAAGCTTGTAGTGGACAAGCTCGTTGTAAATGCTCAATACAATGGCATGTGTCCATGTGATGCATGTCCATGGATATCATATGGTAATATCACATTAATAATATGGTAATTAATGAATATGGTAATATGATATCAATAAAGGAAAAACAAGTAAAAATCACAGAAAATGTCACTTATTCTACATTTACATCATCTACAATGAAAGAGGAGGTTTTTACCTACTGTTAGTAATAGGTCCTACAAGCAGCCTGATGCAGGACTGCAGGAGTACACTCTTGCACGAGTACTTTTACAGTTTTACTTGCATAAAAGTTGCACACAAGTGTTGGCTCATAAATGTGATTGACAGAATTTGTGTACCTCATTCCCCCCCCCAAAAAAAATGGCGGCCATTTCCGCACGACGGGGTAATAACTAATAAGGGACACCCCCGGGTCCCGGGGTAGTAAGGGACTAAAGGGTCTCAACAGACTCAACTTCTCTCAAGACGTCATTGCCAGTGCTAGTCTGCTAGAGAATGTTTCTCTAATCAGCTTTTGATTCAACACTTTAACCTTTGATCAGTTATCACTTAAATGTGACTTAATGTTATAATTGCAAGCACAGCAAAGTGAGCCAACAGATACGACTGTCACCAGTGGGAGACAAATCGAAACGCCTTCATTGTCAGGAATTCTACGTTGCACTAAACACACGTTGCGATCACGTTTAACGCGTTTAAAACCACCATTGACGCCCGTTAGTTTCGAATAAGTTTGGCGGGTCCCTTTATTTATATACAAAGGCCGCGAATTTAAGTAAGGCTTATCAATGGTTTGGTAAACTTGGAAGTGCAGCAAAAGTGAGAGCTAATAAGTGAGAAGTATTGAGGTACCTAAGACTAAGAGTGTGCCAATTCCTGGTATTAGGTATGGATTGGGTATGTGGATTCGGAAAAATTTCACCATACACTTGCGTATTTCACCCATACACTTGCGTATCTGACTCTCCGAGCCTGGTTAGCTGATTCTGACTAGCGAATCTGATTCGGAAATATTTCACCATACACCTACTTACTTTGCTCGCAACAGTCAGTGGTGAACCGTGAAGATGAGTCAGCCGAGGCCAGTTGCTACTGCCATCGGCGCCATACCGTCGTGTTGAATGAGCGCGGGGTAACGAAAAAACAACGGAGGAAAAGATCTATGTGGTCAAAAGATTGGTTTGTCAATCGATAAAGATTCAGTCAATATGAATTTGCTAAATTTCATACGCAACGATAATCCAAAAGGCTATCCAAACTATTTAAGGATTATTTATTTTCATAACAAGTTAGATCTGCATTGGGAACTTTTTCTCGCGTAATTCGAATGAGATATTCCCTTGCTTTATCTCTTTGTAATTTGTTCGAATATTCTTCGCTGCGGGCCTTCTACAAGCGCGGCGAATTGCGGTAATCTCCAATAAACTTGGTTAGATAGTCAGGCTCATGAATAGCTTGGAGTCCGCCATGACTGCACGCACCCGATTGACGTCTGCTTTGCAACTAAACTCGAGCCACCGGATCCCTTGTGAATCAAGTCACGAAAAGTTCAAGAATCGGCAACAGGCCATGGGCCTATTTCTTCAACGCCGACAATTCTATTCTATTCTATCATCACTCTGTCGTTGCAACCGTGTATTCACATAACGTAATCTTGCTGTTCATTGTCTTTGTCAAGGTGGATTACTTTTCATTTGTCAAACGCAGCTGCCACTTATCAGCCCAGTCAACCAGCCTGTCAAGATCACCTTGCAACTGTACTTTTTGCGACGTATTCTTCACTGTATTATATATTTTTGTGTCGTCAGCATACATCGAGCACACGCTAGACATTTGTAGCTTCTGGCAGATCGTTTATAAACGCAACGAATAAAACAGACTCGAGCACCCTTCCTTGTGGCACGCCGCTGTGCACTGAAGCCCAGTCTGATACGGACCCCTTAATACTGACACGTCGTCATCTTCCTACTAGAAAATCTCTGATCCATTTGAGTATATTATTCTCAATTCCCAAAGACTTCAATTTACGCAACAGCCGCTCATGTGGGACACTGTCAAATGCCCTGGCAAAATCGAGGTACACTGCATCTACTGGCTCCCTTTCGTCCAGCAGGCGGGTCCATTCGTTCAGAGTAGACAGGAGGTTAGTGGTGAAAGATCTTCCGCAATAAAACCATGTTGACAGTGTGATAAGAGATTATTAGCAGTCAAATGATCTATCAATCGATCCCCCACAACAGATTACATTACCTTGCAAACGACACTTGTCAAACTGACAGGGCGATAGTTGCCCGGGCAGCTTTTGTCACCTTTTTAGAGTCTTTTCTCATTTATGGAAAAAAAGGCGCTATTGTGCTCGTCATGTCCGTCTGTCTGTCTGTCCGTTACATCACGTTTTCGTCGACGAGAAAATGCGCTCTGTCACCCACTGCCGTGAGTTTTATTTTTTGAACAATGGTGTTACTTGAGCTTCTTTCCAGTCAGCCGGCGAGATCCCTTCGTTCAGAGTTTTTTATCCCTTCCCTTCAGCATCGTGTGCAAAATACACCACCCGGACGGAGCGCGCCGGAGCCGTCCGTATCTGTCTCGTGTGTCGAATCAGCCGGGTCGCCTGTCGAAAACCACACTGCCCTGGATGTAATGGACCATCATGATTCCTGCCTTCCGGAACGTGGCCTTCAACACTTCTGGACAATCATATCTCGGCCGTGCGTCGAACCAGCCCTCAGTCGAACGGCCACTCGTCGGAGGACGATAAATTTTGGAACAGAACTATCTTATCTGAAACCTAACCTCAGATGCAGTGAACGTAAAATTACGTAATTTAACGATGCCCGGAAGTCATATTCGATCCGCAGTCTGGTGGTGCACGGCAGGTTTTGTGCAAGGCCGGAGGAGAACAAAGCCGAGTGGTCGCAGGCTGTTGCGCGCAAGTTCCAGTTCGAGAGGTGGCCAGGGTATGAACTTATGAAGTTATGCTTCGACGCAACGTTCAGTGGTGGACGGCCATTTGACCCTAGGCTATTCGACCTCGTGTCTAGGGGGTGTAGAGCTCAAAATATTCAACGCAGAATGATGTCAAGGGTCGGCTACGGATTGCAGGTTCCATTCACAGCTGATTGATGGATGTCCATAGATATCCAAGGCGCACAAAATTGGTGGTGCACGGCTGCGCTCCTCGTTTAGTTACGGTGTTAAATTAAACCTTCAGCAGAAAACTCAGCTTTCATTCAACCCCACAACCGTGATACTACCATGCCATCGCACAGTGAAAGTTTAACAACGGGTGAGTGTGTGCCGTGTCTGTTGTCCGGCGTTGAGCATGTCGTGTTTGATACCGTGGCGGCAATCACACATCAGCAACCCGAATGCGCTCCGATACCAACCATGGTAGCTGTCGTTACTCACTCTGAAATAGTGGACTCTTCTTCTGACAAGATGGCTCTCGCGGACAAGTTTACACATGAGTTAGCCAGCGACCGCTCCGTGAGAATCAGCTTCCAGAGGGGGAGGGAAGTGACTCTGCTACATGTGCTTAAACGAGAAAATAGGTGACATCTCCGGTAGCTTATGTTCTTAACTTAACTTTAAACTGTTTTTGGTTAATTATTGTTAAGAAATCTACCAAAATTCAATTTAACTATTCTATGACCAGAAGTTATGAACTGATATATGCTGAAACTATTAGTCTATTATATATATTACTGAATTGTACTTTAAGTATTCGGGCACATCATTGTAAACCATTCTTATGCAAGACTGGATAATGAATTAATTCAAATAATTTTTCAATTAAAATGGCTAAATTTGCCCAAGCCCAATCAATTAACGTAAAGTTCATTTAATCCATGGAATGATCCCCTTCAAACCAATTAATTAAGGAATTGTATATTAGCATTAAGATCCTACTCTGTCTGCTAATATCAGAAAAGTTAATGCTTTTTTCCTTCTTCCGAGCGACGCACCGTCCTTAAGAACCCTAACAGAAGAAAGAAGCACGGGGACTGGCAACCAAGAGCCGGATTTAAAAGGACTTCATAGGATAGGATTAAGTCGCTCTTTAGATTTTGAGTTTTGCTTTGCGCCCATTGGCCTCTATTAGCTTATTATGATCATCATTCTCCTTCTGGAAACCTAGTTAATTAACTAGTGCGTTAGTAACGTTGAGCTTTGCTTCTAAAATATTAGCATTTAATTTTCGATTCTCGATTACTTCTATTCAGTATTTAACATGCGTAATGAGCCCTAGTAGTATCAACACGTTCTCCACGTCATTGTACTTGCTCCAAAATTCTTATCACGGACGATTTATATTTTTGCATGGGGACATGTCATGTAGTAATGTTACGTTATAGGTCACCACCCTTACCTTCAGTAGCATCACCCGCGTCACCTTCCGGGACGTCATAGAATCTAGAGAGTGCCTTAAGCATCCCAAGTCAGTCGTGTCAAGATCCACTTGCGTTCTGACGGCTCCGACACTCGCCTGCTCACTCGTGATAGTGTCAATCTAACTATCTGATCTACTCCTGTATAAATACCTCATCGTGCCTTATCCTAAATAATTACTAGTTTTATGGTTGCCACTCTTTCATTCCCCTTATTATAGCATTCGGATAATAATTCGAACCGAAATTAAGTCAGTCATTTTATTTAATATAAACTGGTCCCGAAAGTCACGTAGACATCCGGGTATCAGCGGGCTTGAGAGGCACACAGACCGGACATTGAGGACGGGCACAATTATTCCAGTGCGCAATGATGTGTCGAGACGAAGCGCAGTGCGGGAAGAGGCAACTATTGCCTGCTTGGCACATCCGCATGTGCAACAAGACGTCCTTGATGGTTTTGCAGTGGGGCAGTTTGCACTGGAACATGAGAATAACGTTACGCAATGCTCTCTTGAACAGCACTGAGTTATGGGTGCTGCTTAGACTCATTACATTACACGAAAGCTGCCTGCGACTATATAAAATGGAAAGTCGATTGATACTTCTTTACTAATTTTTATAACAAGATGCACCATCTATAAGGATTCATCCAGCAGTGAGCAGACTAAATCACAATTCACTAAAAAATTCTCAAACAACAGAAGCTAAAATTAGAAGAGAAATTCAATAAATATATTCCAGCTTTCATTCATTATGAAGATGACATTTACAAAGCTGTTAGCACCATAACTATGAAAATGACTTGGTTCAAATGCACCTGTCAGATAATCAAGTCAATCCATACGAGAAGTAAGGACTTGCAATCAGCAACGTCCCAAGTCCCCACTACTTATTCTTTTTATTCTAGACAAAGCTTGAAAATATCAAAAGATAAGTAAACATTGGTGGAGCATCAACTACTAGTAACATTTGTGAGGCTCTTTGATGTTAAAATGGCTACATGTTGGGCATCTAGATGCTAAAATGGCCATAAGATTGGCATCTAGATGCTAAAATGGCCACATGATAAGTATTTAGATGCTCCAATGGCCACAGGATTAGTATCTAGATGCTAAAATGGCTACAGGATGAGCATCTAGATGCTAAAATGGCCACATGATAAGTATTTAGATGCTACAATGGCCACAGGATTAGTATCTAGATGCAAAAATGGCTACAGGATGAGCATATAGATGCTAAAACGGCCCCAGGATAAGCGTCTAGATGCTGAAAAATGGTCACTGGATAAGCACTTGCAAAAAGTAACCATGTCACCTCTCCGACGTTTCCATTTCTCTGCTCCATGTTATGGCACTTGTGCGCGTGCACGAGCAGCACGAGCTGCCGCTGGATTAACCTAGTCTTCTCAGGGCCTGGTGGTATTCTGGGCTGCGCAGCACTTGGGGCTGGAGGCCCTCCCTGCATAATGATATATATATTGATACAGATACAAATAAACAAATCAATGGAGACGATCTAGCAACAACATGGCTACCATAATTCACCATTCTCATATGAAAACTTGTAACTGTGAACTATTGAAATCATGACATGGAATAACCGCAGGGGAGCTTATAATTTTTAAAATTAGATATGATAACAAGATATAATATAGGGGCTATTATGTGGACCACATAATCTGCAGACATGTGTTCAAACACAACATGTTATCTGGTGAACACAACCTATGAATGTCACTGTCATACAAGAATATTTAATTTGAAGTAGTAGCTGGACAAGAATGGTTCAGGCCATTGAAATATTAATCTCAAATGAGAAATTAGAAACTGAAATGACCTTCTTCGGTGTACGTAGCAAACATAAACAAATTGACATAAACATTGCAGCTTCAGAACTCTGTATGGGCACCGGGCCTTATTACCTGGGGCCATCCTTTCAAAACTCGCTAAGTTAACGTAAGTACTTACGCTCTTTTTTCTTGTCTGTGATTGGTGAATTTTGCTCGAAAGGCCGTCTATAATTGGCTGATGAACTTAGGATATCTTAACTTTTTTTGAAAGTATAGGCCCTGGTCATTAAGGTCTTGTTATTACCTCGAGTTGTTGTTGCTGCAGCGTATGCTGGTCCTGCTGAAGCTGTTGCAGCAGCTCTTGCATCTCTGGCCAAGAATCTACCAAGAAAGAGAGCATTTACTATTTACAAACTATTGTTCCATATTTTTAAACAAAAAACATTATTTTTACTTGCATGTAGCTCATGACAACACAAAAAACAGAAGTATATTGAGACAGTTGAATTGCAATAGAGTATATGTAGTTCTGAGCCATTCTTTACTTACACATTGTGAAGCCTAAGTCAAATAAAATTATTCACAAGTCTGGAAAGAGAAAAGAACAAGTGAGTAGGTATATATAATGTGAGGTGCAGGCACACAAATAATAATTAAAAGTCAGACAACACATAAGCATAAGCATAAGCATAAGCATTAATGCATAGCAGGAAACAAGAGACTGTTTAGTTGCCCTCCTTGTTTGAGTCCTATGAGTAGATTAGTTAAGTAACATGGATACCAGCATCATTAATAGATATTCAATACCTATAATTTTTGAAGTAGATCAGAAAATTAAAATGAACTAGTTTCTAAGAAATCTCTTGTTTGCTAGTGGCTACTGCATCTGGATTCTGGAATATACAGCATAATATTCCAAAAAACATTCCTAGTGATTTAGTGAATGAACAATAAAGTACATTTCACAAGAAAATTTTCAAATTCTGGAGGAAAACAATTGCAATTTTTCTCAATTTTTACAAGAATAATTAGGTAAGGAACAGAAATGGTTGAAACTTGAAATTGCTTAAGCTTAACAGCTGAGACAATTTTGTCCCACTTATGTAGTGTTTTAGCCCATTTTCCAATTTGTATGAAAAGTGAGGAGTCTGTAACTCAAACATCTAAGCATCAATAGACTCCTTGTTGTAAGAAACCAGGTATTAGAAATACTAGTAAGCCTGTACTAACTACAAAGGCATGCTTCACAGGGAAAAAATTGTAACAAATTTAGCAGGTTGCACAAAATACTAAATAAGTTAAAATTTAACTTTATGGTCTGCAGTGGAATCCATGCAATGAAAAATGTGTGAAGTTACGTACCAAATTTCAAGTTGGTTAGTTAGTTTAGTGGCCACATGTTTACTAGCGCTTCAGCTATTTAGCTATCTCGCACCGAAAGTCATGATGAACATCACCAAAGAGGTGGAAGGTCTCAGTTATCAAAAATTTCTCAAATCAAAAATTGTTCATCACTCGTGAGGGACAGAAGGTCTCAATTGTCCAGCCTGCTGAAGCTGGTGTAAAAGAAGCAGCATTAGCATCTCAAAGAGACGAAGTGACAAGGAGGGACAGGTGAAAAGCAACAGAAACTAAGACACACGTCAGGAGTATATACCTCCTGAAGGGGTACCAAATTCCTAATAAAACCAACTACTATTCATTAGTCAAGTAAGTGTTTAGTATTTAATGATATATAATATTTCTAGATAATTGAATATTCTTTTCATTTGAGCAAGAATTCTATGGAGGACCTAAGCTACACACAAAAAGTTGATGGAGCTGTTCTAAACTCCATTAGATGATTGAAACCTGCAAAAAGAATGTTTCATTAGTTGCCAGTTGTCAAACATGTAATGATGGTTTCGAGTATTGGAATGGTGGTTAGCACTCAAATGTGCTCATGTTAGAACATTTTCATGATCTTGACTCCTAGTTTAAAATTTTTAAAAAATAAGCTCATTGAATACATTATTTTGCCCTGATGCTAGGGGATATATTTACTAACAGTTGAAATATACAGGGTGTCCCAAAAAAAACGATACTCAACTTTGAATGGCTGTAACTCAAAAAGTAATAGAATTAAAAAAAAATTCAAAGGTCAGGATTTGTTCCCTACGTTTTTCTGTATCTCTCCACCAAAAATCAGTGGAGTGACATGTGTTAAAATTGTGCTTGCGCAAAGTTTTAGTAAGACCATTTTGCATAATCATTATGTTGTCATGACATGTTTTCTTTTTGCCGTTTTATTTTTTTTGTATCTTTGGTGAGACAAAAACATGGCAATCTTTGGTGAGAGGCAATCATGACAATCTTTGGTGAGAGACAAGCATGACAATCTTTGGTGAGAGGGAATTTCAAAACCAAAGATTGCCTCTCATCAAAGATTGCCTCTCACCAAAGATTGCCATGATTGAGTCTCACAAAAGATCGTCATGATTGTCTCTCACCAAAGATTGTCATGATTGTCTCTCACCAAAGATTGCCATGATTGTGTCTCACCAAAGATTGAAACATGGGAATGAGTGGCAAGTGAGTGCAGTAGCTGCTGAGTGGCAGCCTATATGTCATTGATAATAAGTTTTTGCACAAGTTAGCTTAGTTCCTCCACCACTCTCAAAGCCAAGGTAAAGAACAATTTTACAAATTTCATGTAAATTTCAAATGAAAATATTTTAACAGAGTATTGTAGAGCATCAATCAGTGTTTATACATATGTAAAATAAGAAAAATATGTTAAGATCAAGAAGAAAGTGTCAACTAGATAAAATTCAACTATTCAGCACATCCCACATGTCAAAACCAAACTGAAATGCAAGATACTGAAATATTTTTTTCTTGCAGGTGCCCAGCATCCAGAGGAGTTTGGTGCAGCTTAATCCAACATATAGCAGCTCAATCCAACATATGACAACAACTCCATGAAAAACCACAACTGCACATTAAAAATTGGACCCAATTAGTCAATTAATAAGATTTTAAAGGAATTTGGTCTTCCAAAACAGTTTAAGGTCATCAAGTTTCTAATATTATTATAAGTAGAAAAATTTGACAGTTCATTATTGTTCAAACTCTACTGTTCTTGGTAGTTACACATTTTTTTAATATACAAAATAATCATTTCATTATCATGCAGTCATCAAAGTATCTAATCTACAGTACTTCTTTTGTATAATTTATGTATCAATATATATGTAACAGTTGTGATATCTCATCTTAACAATAAATTTTGTTGTTAAGATGTTGTTGGTGAAAAATATTTAATCAAGTAAAACTGAATTTATAGTAAAGTAGTAAGGAGATGTAAAATATTAATGTTAAGTCAATATAGAATAAAAGTGCTATGTTTTTCTGTTGCAGAAGGTTATTTTGTGACCAACCCAGAGCCTCCCTTATTGCAAATAATTAGAAATCATTGATAATTGAACATCAGGAGTAATGGTTCATGTTCAGCAGGACCCCCTGTAAAAAAGAGCTACAGCAGCTGAGGTAGATTGGCCCGGAGTGCTCACATGAGATCCATCTGTGAATATTGCTGTGTAGCTAAAATATTTAAAGCTAACAAGGTCATAAAAAATTTTGACAGTAGATTTAGAAGATGTTTTGGATACTGTCATGACTCATGGGAGAGAAGTTGACTGAAATTTTTTTGGAGTTGAACTAAGGAGGAAATTAGGAGACAACAGGAGAAGGGAGCAGGCAGGGAAACATAAATTTGTAAAGAAGAAAAGATAGCCCTGGTATGAAGAACAGAGCTGGTTAAGAGTGTTGATGGCTTCTGCAGCATGATATGAGGTACATTTGGGAAGAACAGGTCAGACACAACAGGACACTGTGGTTTGCTAGAGTAAATGTGCAGTTTAAGGTTACTTAGAGTTTGATACTAAGAGTATGGAAACTCCACTGGACTGAATGGAGTATCCTCATTTCTTTGTTGGGAGACATTTATCAGCATCTGGGAGTACAGGGAGATTACTGTCAAATGGGGTAATAAGGGATGGGCAGGGTAATTTGCGACAGTCCTCTGTGATGGCATAAAAATGCTATAGCAGAGAAACTAATTGAAATATTGCAAATATAAAAAGAGAGAGGCAAAACTTCAACATTTTTTGTATCTATGTAGCATAAAGGAAATTAAGAAATCATAGGTTTACTAGTTCTAAAAACTCCTTGGAAAAAATGTTAAAAAGTGATATTTTGAAAAAGTACTTCCGTTAAAGTCTGTAGTAAATAAATAGAGGCCCTATCTCAAAAAACTTGCAAACAGGTGTTGGCTTTAAAACTTTATTGACAGAATTTGTGTACCTCAATCAAAAAACAAAATGTCAGCCTTTTCCTCAAGATTGCGTATCAAGGGACACCCCTCCACTCCCGGGGTAATACGGGATGCCCCTATAAAATAAATTTACAGTAGAACCTTAGTTAGCAAAGGCTCTGGTTAACCAAAAAACCAGTTAGTGAGAAAGATTTTTGATTAAATTTACCTCTCTCAGCAAAAAATTTAATCAGCAAAAGAAATTAATGCATCATCAGTTATCTCAAAATTGTACATAGAAAGACCTAGATAGAATTGTGTGCTGGGCAACATAGAATGAAAAGTAATCAACTAAACTATGATTTATATCTGCAAGAAATATGATGGTTGTCACTAAAATATTCCTTTCTGTTTCAGCCTCAGGTGTTATTTACAATCTTTTTTTGTTATAGTGAATTAATTCACTTTACCAAATTAAATGGAGCAAAATTACAAGCCCAGTCCCATAAGCTTACAGAGGAAATGCTAAAGCTGAACAGCTGCTGATATGAAGCTTGCAGAAAGTTGCATTGAACATTGAGCAAGGTTGAACTGTTAAATGTCAATGGCATGAAAGTTTTTTAGGGGGTTTCAAAAGTGTTAAGAATGGAATGGAAAAATAATTTTTGTTAATGAAAAATGGATTTGGTAATATCATCAAGGTAATATCACCAATAAAAGAAAAAAAGGTACAAATCACAGAAAATGTCATTTATTCTACATCTACATTGTCTACAAATGAAGAAGAGGACAATGGAGTACTATAAAGTTAGATAGTAATAGATAAGTAGGCTACACTCTGCAAGCTTCAAATATTTTTAATTAAGTTTTATTTCAAGTTTCCCACATTACCCCAGTCACAACTCCCAGGGGTAATTCAGGATGTATTTTTTATTGCTTCTGGCATCTTTCAAATACCTAGCACATGGGTACTTTTGGAGATGCCATATAATAGTCCTCACAAAGAACTTCAAAATGAGCCTAAACTTATTTACGAAATGTTCCATACTCCATAGTAAGAAGTTAATAAATTTATCAACAAAAAAATGTCACTTACTACCCTGTTTAACAGTATAAGGTGTTAACTTGGTCACCAGCTAAATTTAGTAGGTTGCTTCTCTAAGGTTTTCCCAATAATAGGATAGGAGATGGTTCAATGGAGGCCTCCATCATTATGGCATAAATGACTGTTCAAGGTCCTACTTGGCAGGTTAAGTAGAATAGCTGGGACTGGAAGTTCTAGTACCAGGGTCTGGGCTGGTCACCTGGTTCTGTACAATACATTAACTCACAGAATTTGCAAATTGGGTACAGAATAAGCCTAAGGGCAGGCAAGCTGTAGGGTTTCCCTCAAACCCCGCCGGTCTAAGTTACCCCATTTTACAGTATCACCTTGTTCCTTTTTCCTGCGTTTGGGCATTTTATCCGTTTTTGTGTAATTTGACGGATTCAACTATTAATGCAATGAAAAATTCAACTATCAATGCAATAATCTCAATTAGCTATTCGTCGTCAGACGTCGATAAATGGGCAGAAAAACTTACACACGTCCGTTGTCGTCTGTAGCTTCAACCGCACCCCGGTCACTGGGTCAATACAGGCCGGTAATACTTTAGATTAAGTGTATCCAAAAATAGGGTGTTTTTTTAATTCTATGTTTTATGGGTGTAGATTAAGAATCTGAAATTCGTTTTTGGCGATCAGCATCGGAAAATTGATTTTTTCCTGATTTTTTAAACATTTTTTATAGAAAACAACAATGGGGGACCCGTGGGGAGCTGGGGGTTATAGGGGGGCAGGCATAGTGACAAACCAGATATTTTTTATAATCAGTTCATTTTTAGTTTCCTCATTTACTCAAGATTTCAACCAATTTCTTATGTATGATAATGCTGGTATCCATGATACTTTGCTGGTCTACTTATCAGACTCAAAAATGAACTTGAGGGAGAGGCTAAAAAATTATCTGCTTTGCCACTATGGGGGCAGGACCATGCCCGAGGGCCAAGGCTCTAATTCGTCAAAAAAAAAAAAATCAGGCAAAAATCGGCAAAAAATTGGAAAATTTATTTTTTACTGAGAACCCAACCTTTTAACCTAACCTAACCTGGTGCGATTTTTGGGTTTTACATAGGTTTACAGTCATTCCCAGGCCCAGCTGATGATGCAGATCAATATAGATCATTTCCAGTAAAAAAAAAATTCCGATTTTTTCCAATTTTTCGCCGATTTTTGCCCAATTTGTTTTTTTTTTACGAATTAGAGCCTCAGGCGTGTCCACCCCCGTAAAACCCCCGGTTCCCCCTATTGTCATTTTCTATAGAAAATATATAAAAAATCGGGAAAAAATCGGTTTTCCGATGCCGACCGCCAAAAACGGATTTCAGATTCTTAATCTACACCCCAAAAAACATATAATTAAAAAAAACTTCTTTTAGATGCACTTAATCTAAAGTACTATTTATTAACTATTAGGCTACATCTTATGCTACAGCACCAACGCGGCAACGTCCAATATCACTTAGTCACTATGAGTATGATATAGATTATAGAGAACCATCAGAACCTGCCATAAATGTTTTGTTTTCAAATGGTTACCTCGTACAAAATTCCTCAATAGATATGACTTTCAGAAGCGTGACTACTGATGAAATAGTTTAAAGAGCGCTCGATACTCACATGCGTCTAGCAGCTCTCACCATCGCAGGTAACCTTCCCTTCTCTAGATCGTCAGTCCACTGTGCAGTGTGCACTGTCCACTATGCTGCCTGACTCGTTTACAACGCGTATAAACAAGTGCAAGCGGCTATTTTTGAAAGAACATAGATTTTACATGCGGAAAAACCTGAACTTTTATGAAAAAAAACTAGATATCTACGTAATATGTAATTCAAAATGATAAATCCATTTGGTTCACAAAGGAGTGAGTATGTATATACAGGTATAAACACAAATTACAATATAACAAATATTAAATTTTTATTGAGTACCTATTTTTTCCTACTTATTTTTTATTTTAGTATTATTATTTTTATTTATTTTTCATATGTTCATATATTTATTTGTTATTGTTTTATTTTATTATAATTTTATTTCTTATTACCTTATTTTATTATTACTTTTTTTTAAATCTTTCAGTTTTTAACCGGAACGCTCTTTATTTAGTTTTTAATCTGTAAATGTTAACATCTTTTAGTTTTCAACCTGTCACAACAACACATGCAACTCTATGTGCCTCTGTAACAACGTTTATCACGTGCCCCCTGTAACGTGCAACTCCACGTTCCCCTTTAACGATGCCATCACAACTCAACGTGCAACTCCACGTGCCTCTATAACAACGTTCATCACAACAACGTTCAACTCCACGTGCCTCTATAACAACGTTCATCACAGCAACGTGCAACTCCACGTGCCTCTATAACAACGTTCATCACAGCAACGTGCAACTCCACGTGCCTCTATAACAACGTTCATCACAGCAACGTGCAACTCCACGTGCCTCTATAACAACGTTCATCACAGCAACGTGCAACTCCACGTGCCTCTATAACAACGTTCATCACAGCAACGTGCAACTCCACGTGCCTCTATAACAACGTTCATCACAGCAACGTGCAACTCCACGTGCCTCTATAACAACGTTCATCACAGCAACGTGCAACTCCACGTGCCTCTATAACAACGTTCATCACAGCAACGTGCAACTCCACGTGCCTCTATAACAACGTTCATCACAGCAACGTGCAACTCCACGTGCCTCTATAACAACGTTCATCACAGCAACGTGCAACTCCACGTGCCTCTATAACAACGTTCATCACAGCAACGTGCAACTCCACGTGCCTCTATAACAACGTTCATCACAGCAACGTGCAACTCCACGTGCCTCTATAACAACGTTCATCACAGCAACGTGCAACTCCACGTGCCTCTATAACAACGTTCATCACAGCAACGTGCAACTCCACGTGCCTCTATAACAACGTTCATCACAGCAACGTGCAACTCCACGTGCCTCTATAACAACGTTCATCACAGCAACGTGCAACTCCACGTGCCTCTATAACAACGTTCATCACAGCAACGTGCAACTCCACGTGCCTCTATAACAACGTNCAGTTCACGTGTCAGTCGCTTTACAGCAGTTCACGTGCCAGTCGCCTTACAGCAGTTCCGTTTTCACGTTCTGAAGGCGGCTGGCCAACAGCCACTCCTTCACCCAGAGCTCAAGCGGGCAGCAACAAAAATATTAATTACTACGTTGAGCACTAATGGCGAGCAGGCCTAGGTCGTGACAGGCCTGTGTCGTGATCGAGCAGGCCTGGGCCGTGGCCGAGCAGGCCTGGGTCGTGGTCGAGCAGGCCTGTGTCGTGGCCGAGCAGGCATGGGTCGTGACTGAGCAGGCCTGGGCCGTGGCCGAGCAGTCCTGGGTCGTGGCCGAGCAGGCCTGTGTCGTGGCCGAGCAGGCCTGTGTCGTGGCCAAGCAGGCCGGGGTCGTGCCCGAGCAGTCCTGGGCCGTGCCAGAGCAGTCCTGGGTCGTGCCCGAGCAGGCCTGGGTCGTGGACGAGCAGTTCAATTACTCGTGGCCGAGCAGGCCTGGGTCGTGGTCAACCCGCCAAAAGATTTAATGGGGGCTTGATTTTTATCACCCCATTATTCTGAAGAGCGACGTCCAACTAGCAGGTACGAACCCCAAAACATTGATGATGACTGCTATCCCGCTGACCAACCCACACGAAGTTCGTCTGAACTGCGACTAGGGTATTAAATAAATATGATTATTATTGGAGCGGATGGAGGAATCGATAAACAAACATACGAATAGGCAAGTTGTTGACCCGACAGCAGCAATGGCGTCGCTACATGATGGATTTAAGAAAATATTGCAGTACCTGCACGCGGAGCCCAAGCTGGACCTGAAGCAGTTCCAGGCTCGACTTTCGCAATAAGTTAACATTTTATTATTTTGTGTTTAATAACGACTGACTGACGAACAAATTCACGCCCCCGATCTCTGCCGCGTCTTCGTCGTGGGGGTACCCTGGCCGCCTGCGCGTCGGCCGGTTGCCTGGCATACTCGTGGGTCAGGCCAAACGGCAGAGGCCCCCCCCGCCCGGATCGCTACCGGACCGAGGCTCCTTTCTCATTTTTTCCCCTAAGGGTAGGGGAACCTCGACCTCCCCTTCCCCCTACTCACATCTTTGGCCGCCTATCTTTCCTGGGGCACCTCATGCCCTCCTCTCTTCCCATCTTTTCTTCCTCCTCGTCCTTCTTCTTCTGACCCAGGGTATCCATCCCAACCCTGGCCCGCACCCCTGCTCAGTCTGCTAAATTCTTCCGCTCGGGGTCCTGACGGCCTCACGGTTCTTCATCTCAAGCACCTCGGCCGGCGTGGCCTCCTGTTCCTCAGCCACATTTTCAACATCTCCGTCTCCACAGCCTCTATCCCATCCATTTGAAAAAATTCAATAATTATTCCAATCCTCAAACCGGGCAAACCTGGTAACCATGGCTCCTCATACCGCCCTATCTTCCTCCTCTGCCCTGTAGCCAAGATCCTAGAGCGTCTTGTGCTCCCTTACATCTTGGGATCTCTCACCACCGTCCCCTTGCAACATGGTTTCAAGCCGGGACACTCCACTGACACCGCCCTCCCCCGCTCGCGCACCAGATCGCGACGGGTTTTAACTCTCTGCGCCCTCCAGCCCGCACAGTCGCCGCTGCAGTCGACCTCTCGGAGGCCTTCGACTGCGTCGACCACCCTCTCCTTCTGAGCATGATCGCGGCCTCGGACCTACATCATGACATGGTTCGTTGGCTGTGCTGCTACCTTAGAGGCAGGCAGGCATCCTGCCTCTACCTCAGAACGCAGCCGCCTATCAGAGCAATTTACTTCGGAGTGCCCCAGGGCTCGGTCATCTCGCCGGCCCTCTTTAAAGACTTCATCTCCGATATCCCAGTGCCGACCCCCAACATTGCCTCATATGCGGACGATCTTACCATCTTCGTGTCTTCCCCGAGGCTCGACGCTGCTGAGCCTGAGCTCGCTGTGCTCCTTCGGAAAGTCTCGGATTGGTCAGCTGCCAAGAAACTGGGCGTGGCTAATGGCAAGTCCTCGGTCACGCTCTTCACCCCAGACACCCACCCCCAAAATCCTGGGTGTCACCTGGGATACGCACTTCACATTCTCCCCCCATGCAAGAGCCATCGCCACGAAAGCGACGGGTTCTCTTCGCATCCTAAAAGCCCTTGCTGGTACCAACTGAGGCTTCTCCAAGGAGGACATTATTTCCACCTACCGAACCATCACGCGCCCAATCCTCAACTACGCGGCCCCCATCTGGTACCCTGTTGCCTCACGTACAGCAGTGGCCAGCCTGCAGACAATACAATACACTGCATTGAGACTAGCCACTGGCTGCCTCAAAATGGCCCCGATCGCCCATCTTCACCACGAGACCGGCGTCCTCCTATTATCCGCGCATCTGGATCTGGCTTGTACCCAGTTCCTCGCCAGCGCCCTCCAGCCCTTCCATACCTCTTTCCGCATCGTTTCTGCCCCCCCCGTGGATCGCACTATGAAAGCCTCCATCCAGTCGAGGTTCGGTCAACTGGTCACACCATTCTTGGGTAATGGCATAATGCCTGCCGAGGCCTACGGAGAAGCAAAGCGGTCCCTCCGCAGGGAGATCGCCTCCCGCGTTGCGGCGACTGACGCCATAAATGCCGTACGCACATAAACGCCCCTACCGCTCCGGCGCTATCCCAGCTCCGCTCGGGATACTGCTGCTCCCTGGCGTCCTATTCCGCCAGGATCGGACGCTCCCCTAGCTCCGCTTGCCCGGAGTGCGTGGACCCCCTCCTGTCCGTCCAGCACCTCTTCGCCTGCCCCGCTTTCCCCCCGTCTCTCAACGTCTTCTCACTGTGGGACAGCCCCGTGGAGGCAGCGGCTTTCCTGGCCACACTCCCTGCCTTCGCCCATCTTCCCCTTCTTCCGGTGCCTGCCCCCCGTCCACCACCAGAGCCTCCCCCGCGAGCGTGACGGTCGCATCGAACAACAACAACAACAACAAATTCACAGCATTCGAGAGCAGATAACTCAGCAACGCAGAAGCAATTCAAGGTTTTCTTTTTTTAACATTCAACTGGAATTAAAACATTCACTTCATTTCTGCCTTCATAGTTGTAGTCACTTGATTTTGGGAGCGCAGCCGTGCACCAACAATTTTGTGCACCAATAAGCCCTGAATCGAACGCCTTGGATCTCTCCGGACACCCACCAATCAACCGTGAAACACTCGGCTTTGTCTTCCTCCGGCCTCGCATGGAACCTGCCGTGCACCACAAGGCCGCGGATCGAGTCTGACATCCGGGCATCGTTAAATTACGTAATTTTACGTTCACCGCATCTGAGGTCAGGTTTCAGATGGCATAGTTTTGTTCCAAAATTTATCGTTCTTCAACAAGTGGCCGTTCGACCGAGGGCTGGTTCGACTCACGGCGGGAACGCAGCCGTGTACCTGTCTCTTATACACATCTAGATGTGTATAAGAGACAGTAATAGCATNCCGCATTCTTGCGGAATCTCTTCTGTCTCTGTTGCAGGCCACGCTGCGGGAGCGACGGTGGCCGGTGAATGGTAGCACCCAATTCTTGAGGAGTTGGGGCGCTGCCTTCACCTGGCTACTGATTTGCTCTTGGGGGAAGGGAGTTAGGGGGGGGGGTCCTTCGGGACCCAAAAAATAAAGCATCCTACCTGCTGGAGAGCTGGCTCGGAAGACTTTCCGTGCCTCATTTCTAGTCTTTTTGAAAGCTCCAGTGCTAGCTTTCCTGCCTTTTTTGGAGTTGCATAATTCTCGCTAGATGATTTATTGTTGACAGAAAACACAATCAAGCTGTGAGTTTCAAAAAAAAGTTCAAGTTGTCTTGGTATTGAGACATTACAGTAACTAGCAGGAATTTTTCGATATTGGCTGGGGCAAGATCTGCCTCGAGACGCGGCCTGTCTGATGGATAGCTAGAGGTCAGCATAGCCCAAGTCCACAGTGCGATTCATATACCTTCCCGTGCGTAACGCAGCCGGGCATCTTCACGGCTTTTGACACAAAGCGCCCACCACAACAGCGCAGTTCTGCCACAGGCCTGGTTCAACAGCGCCGGAGCACAACCGTCCGGAGCGCAGCAGGCCCTACCGCAACAGCTACTCCTAACGTAACTTAACCTAACCTAACCTGCTCCGCCTGTTGCGGTAGGGCCTGTTGCGCTCCGGCCGGTTGGGCTCCGGCGCTGTGAAGCAGTGGCTGTGTTGTGCACAGCGGATTCACTGTTAGCCGGAGTTACCCACAGCTCTTTGATCTGAGGCTATGTGTAGATATTGCATGCTGATGGTTGGCGTTAGGCCCAGGGCCTGTTTACGAGTCAATTTTGTTACTCACGGCTGCGCTCCCGCAGAGCAGAGAGTGGAAGCCCGAGATAGTTTCAGAAAAGACCCATCTTAATGGATATTGTACAGCGCTGAAACTAAAGAAAAACTCTCCACCATGCCATCGGAAACGAAAATTTATGCAATAGAGTTACCTTCAATAAAATTTAAAATAATGCTTCATCACTTACTAACCTAAATTTCATAATTTTTTCCTGTGTTTATTTGGATTTGATAACTTTCATTTCGAAATGAATACGCGATTGAAACATTCATCGATGAGATATTTTTCTGAATATAAAAATCTTTTAAATCTCTCAAAAAACCGGACAGAAGTCATTCAATTCTTGACAGAACAAACGGTCAAACCGTTTTAAGAAAGCTGCTCGGGGGAGAGAAGCTTGAACCGTTGTCGAAAGAGGACGTTCCTGCAAACCTCTCTGTTTCCCTATAATTGTGATTTGTGAAAGTGACTAACGATACCTCAATGATTAATTCATCTGAGGGTCAAGATCTCATTGATCCTGGTGCTTCACCAAACGCATCAGAGTTGACAATGACCGATTCGCAACTCAGACATTTCTGTGAAAATGAGATTATTATCGGAAAAGAAGCAACTCCTTCCTCATCCCAAGATGGCGACTCACCAGAAAGTGGAGCGGCTCGTCGGAAGCGCAAGAGTGCGCCTGATGCCATTGAAGAAATGTCAGGAGATACAAAGAAGCGGCCCAATACTGGAACGATCTCAGCTCCCATAGTGAAATCTACGCAGAGGAATACGAATACCAATGTTGTTGGATCGCAATCATCGCAGAGTTCGCACTTGCCCACCTCAACTGATCAACAAGATTCCTGGGTGGTCCTTATCCGCCCAGCAGATGATGGCTCTAAACGGATGCTGACCTCACCAGAGCAGCTCTGCTCAGTACTGGAAGCACCACCATTTTCAACCATGCGTGTGGAAGATATTCGAGTGAACCGCAGAAAAGGTTTGATTGCCGTTCAGCTATTTGATGGCAGTGAAGAGGATATTGCCTCTCTTTTGCAAATGACTCAGCTTGGCCCATGGTCAGTTAAGTGCTCCCAACCTAATCAAGGGAAGTATTGTTATGGAGTCATCACTCCTGTTGACATTGAAGCTGACATAAATGCCATGGAGAGGAGAGTTCAGGTGGATGGTCCTGGTAAATTTGTCAAGATGGAAAGACTGACCAGGAACCTAGAAGGTAAGCGAGTGCCTTCTACCTCAATAAGAGTGGTTTTTGAGGGCAGAGAGCTCCCCAGTAGAATGAAAATTGGATATATTGCCTACTCGGTCCGCCCATACTCCTTTCCTCCTTTGCAATGCTATCGTTGTCAACGATATGGCCACTCGGCAGATGGCTGTACAAGCAAGAGGAGATGTCTTGTATGTGCTGGGGAACATTACTATAGGGAATGTACAAGTAAACAGCCAAAATGTGCCAACTGTGGTGGACCGCATAAAGCCAACTTCCCAGAGTGTGATAGGGCCCCAGGGCATGCACGACAAGCAAGATCCAAAAACACAAATAATGTGAGTCCTAATCATCTGCCAACAAATTCAGAACGTTTTGAGAGGAGACATGGCCAGGGATTTTTGGGAAAGCGCAATGTGCAAGTGTTGGCTGATGTCCACCATCAGTTGAATAGTCCAGTTCAAGGATATTCTTCTCCATTGTATAGTCAAGTTGTTTCAAGTCAGCCCTTGGTTGATAAATCTAATTGCACTACAGCCACAGCTAACCTCAACCAAGCTCCATGTGTTTCAGCGTGTGAACCAAAGGCATTTGCTCCTGTTGAATTTCTTTCCAGCCTAGTGGGCTGCTTGACGGATTTGTTTTCTCTACCTTTGCACAAGGAATCTCCTTCCAAGACTTGTTTTTTGATAAACCATGCCATTCAAAAGCATTTTGGTGTTACCCTTACCTCGACTTCAATAAATAATATTATTACAAGCTCTGCTGCTGATCTGGAAACCATTGAGAGGGCTCCTAATGTACCTGTGTCATCCCCCAGCCTCAATGTACTTTGCTCTAATGATGAAGATCTTGGCTGCCTAAGTGTAGATGAAAGCTTCAAACTAGTTTCTGACTCAGACTCGGACATGTCTGCAGAGAACGCAGAGGGCAGTGGAGTGAGGGAATCAGTNAGCATCAATGCCCTGGGAGTCCCTCACATTTCTGTGCGTGTGCTTCTCGGTGGAGGCAATTACCCCAGAAGAGTTCAGCACTCCATAGTGCGAGCAACTGCTGCGTATCTCACACAAACTGGTCGTCTAACTACCTTATAGCCAATGAAGAATACTGGACCTAATGACAATTTCCCTCTCATCGCTACACATCATGAGAAACCAACGACAACGTGGAGAGCATGCACCAATGGAAAGAGGAATTAAATTGAAAATGAAAGATGAAGAAATGTTTTAAATAATCATTGCTGAGTCCAGGTGTTACAAGCGGTCGACGCATGACTTCTTCTTCACCTCCAAACCGGCATCAATCAATCAAGAAAGCTGCTCGAAGTTCGTTGTGTTCAAATTGGTTAGAAAGATGCTAAGTAAATGACTGGTTTCATGCGAAACACATTAACGTAGTGGTAGTTTCAGCTAGTGAATTTAAAATAAAACAGTAGAGATCTATGATTATAATCGACAATTTTAAATTTTTAGACAAATTTTATGCTAAATCAGTTTCAGTAGATGTATAGCTATGTTTGCAAAATGAATCAAAACTGATGTTTTTTCTGTTTTAACTTAAAAACATTAGCTATTTTGACTACCTACCAAGATAGACCTACATACACATAGTACACTACAGACTACAGAGTTTGCCTTTGCCATAGAATAGGTACATGTATAGTAGTAGGTACATCAATGATCAACTGAAAATCTGAAATGATTAAACCTTGAAAGCATTGCTTAAAATAAGATTTCTTGTCTTTTTTTTGTGTAGTTATTCAACAATATACAATCATATTCATATGACTGTATTATGACATATCAAATGTTGCAGTCCAGTCTCAAAAATAAATAAGGATACAAATCATACAATTCATTGCAACTTAATCCTCTTGACCAGTTAGCTATTGGCTTTCAACTAGGCTATTCAACATAAATCTCTAAATTATTTATTCTTCATTGGAGTTTCATAGTGAAGATAAAAAATATATTAAAAATATGGCTTCAGTAAGTATCTAAAATTTTATTGTATTTGTTATATTGCTGGCTTTTAGTCTTTTACTAGGTTACTCAATTTCATTCCTGAAATTCCAGACTCCATAGCTTGGCAATGGGCCACTATGCAGAGGGTGGATGCAGCGTCGCCAATATATGGATTTTTAAGCCCAAAGCGTTGCCGGCCATTTTAAAGATGCGTCGCCGGGTAATTTTTAATGAAAAGCCATTTACGCTGAGTAATGACGAACTATTTACAAGCCACGAACTTATTTAAAAGGTTGCATGCACGTGTTACCCCAAATAACTAATTTTACCCTAAAAACAGTCCGATTGTACAGCAAGTGTCAACTGAACATGTAATAAAGCAGTCTGACCGCTCTAATGTGACCGAAACTACGCAATCGAAAAAACGTTGTTTACATTTTTTGCGGGAACTCATCGCAACTGATTTCCGGACAAGCTTCGCTGCATCGTAATCCATCCAACGTACCGGAAACCTTACTTTTTTTCTAAATAGTTGGCCGAAGACTGAGAAATATATTAAATGCAAGAATTTCAATCTAAATGTGTCGGCAAGATCTTCTGAAGGCGAAAATTTGGCTACTGAAGCGTCGCCAAAGATCTTGCTATATTCATCCACTCTCTGCATAGTGGGCAATGGGCATGCTGCAGATGCAAGTTACAGACCTACAGGCAGGCTGGAATTTTAAGATACTAGTGCATAAAGTTGCTGTCATTGTTTGGCAGATATATATCCCTTACCTACCAGCTGTGATTGGTTGACTTACTAAGTTTCTGGCTTGATCGGTAGGTATTCAACATATGAACCACACCACCACTCCTTGAAATTGAAGTGCAATCTTCATTCTTCATCACCGATATAGAATGAAGAAAAGACCAGACATCTCCTTTGTTCCAAAAAGCATTTTGTGATTTTTGAAAGTTTTTCTGTATTTTTTTAATGACTTCTTGGTCATTTTAACACAGCATCATGATTGAAATAAACTTCAAACTTCAAAGTGGTGTCTAGTAACTATATTATGTTTGCCTTGTATAAACTCCATGTTTAACATCAATTTAAATTTGAATGTCAGTATGAATTGCATAGATACAGAAGTTTCCCAGACTGAAATATTAAAGAAAATGTTGGGACTAAAAAAATGATTTCTAAATGCCATGCATATCCATAATGCTTTTTAAGGCCATGACTTTATTTTTGATGTTATTTTTTTCATCCACCAATTCTAAAGTCCATAGAATGTTACTGTTCAGTTCTGTTGATAAAATTAGATTGTTTCTATTGAAGGCTGGCAATATAATTCTAAGTAGGGTAAACGCGGTATATTCCGTCATCATAGGTAATTCCGTCACCTCCAGAGTGGAAATCTAAGATTAGAGGTTCACTTAAAAAAAAGCGTTCCGCCTTGAAAAAAAAAAAACGTTCCAGGCAAGTGGCAACTAGAAACAGGTTTGCAGGTCGTCAGAAATCGGCCTCGGCATGAACGTTACGTCAGGCAACACAGAGAAAATCCCAATATTGTTAATTGTGCGCGTCACTCACGGATAAGCAAGAGGAATCTACTGAAAGACACGTTGTGCTCAGTAGAACACGTTGTGCTCNTAAGATGAGACTAAGCATGTAACTGCAGCACAACTCAAGTAGAAACTATATTCAAAGATTTCAGCAGCTAATTACTTTATATCTAATTAGTTAAAGAACTCTCCCACCTGCTTCCCTTTAAAGAGACATAATGAACGTAAATATTGGCGTACAGCGATGGCAGTGGCACCATTGGAAAGAGCAGAATTCCAGCTTTCAGATGAGCACAAAAACCGGAAAACGCCAAAATTGAAAATTTTAGGGTAGTTGGTCCCCTTAAGTATTGATTAACTCGCGACACAAACAGAAAATTCCCTCTTAACTGACCTTACTGCTGCAATTTTTATGGAAAAATTGCAGATTTGGTGCTTAAATTGAAATTTTTATTCCTGACACTCATTGTACTGTATGGAATTTTTTTCCAGTCTCAAAACCATTGTTGCTACTACAAGAACATGAAAAGAATATTCAATAATATTAATTTGAATTTTGGTCAGAGTTTGGTAGTACTGAACAGCAGAACTTCAACTGCTCTTGAAGTAAATTTTTTTAAAGAGATTTTAGATCAAACCAAAAAACCCAGCTTCTATGCTTCCAAATTATAAATTTAAACTGAGGTTAATCCTTGCTACACTTGTACTGTAATGGTTCATTTATGGCTAATATGGCCCATCTTGATTATTTAATTTTACTTGTTCAGACCAAATTACTATTATGTTGCAAGAGAATTTTTTTTATCATGTACACTGAGATAAATGGTCTTATTGGCTAACCACTTTATTGATTGGGGAGAGAGTGATTGTTTGCATTCAGGATTTAAAGCATAAATAATCTCAAGTTTTTCTTATTCTACTTTTTAAAATATTCTTATTACTGATTGCTTTATTTAATAGTAGATAGCTCCTGCATTTCTGATACCTTTGCTATTGTGCAGTCCAGCAGCAATGTGGAGAACTTGTCACCTCAGACCATCAGAGCCCTGATGAAGGAGCAGGCTGAGCTCACCAAAAATCCTCTCGAAGATATTCAGCTCCACCTCAACCAGCAGGACGTCACTGACATACAGGCCACCATACAAGGACCAGGTCATTTTATAGCAATTTATTTCCAAACTAATCCACTTTCACTATGCAAGGACCAGGTTGTTTGATAGCCATTTATTCCCATATACTAATCCACCTCCACTATACAAGGACTAGGTTATTTGATAGCCATTCTGTATGAATTGACCACCTGTTGGAAACCACTGAATTATTGTGATGAAAGTGACGTTTCAGTCTGCATGCTTGTAGTGTAATAAATGATGGGATATTATGTGACCTCCATTATTTCCACCATATATTCATTTGTTTATTGACATTTTGCAATTTTTTGTCTATTTATTTTTCACTTGCTATTAATCTTATGCGAGACGTGCCCTCAAAGTTTGTTTAAACCAGACGCCACGATGAATGTATCATGGAATAATAATAATTATTTTATTAACCTGCTTCTTGTGTTGCAGTTGGCACACCATTCTCAGGAGGACACTTCCGAGTGAAGCTGGTACTCGGCAAGGACTTTCCAGCAACGCCTCCAAAAGGATTCTTCCTGACACGAATATTCCACCCCAACGTTGCTGCTAATGGCGAAATTTGTGTAAATGCCTTGAAAAAAGACTGGACACCAAGTCTTGGCATCAAACATATTTTATTGGTGAGAATTGAGCCTTTGTTGATCATATGGTTTCATTTGATGCATTGCTTTACTAGCCATTCTCTTAATTTTTCTTGTGTTGATATTGTTAAATAGCCTGGAGCTCTTCTCTTGATCCACTACTCATCTACTAAAATGGTGGCCCGAGTGTGATATAGGTAGCTTTATTCAAGCAGTCAGTATTGATCACTAATTATTATAGCACACAACACTGCGGTTGGTTAATGCATATTGTATTTATGCATCAACTTATCACGTTTTCTCCTGTACCGGAACCGGGCCAGCCTACAACAAATGAGGAATGATTCTCTCGTGTTGTAAGTTGAAATGCTCTCTGATGAAGAGTTTGCTGATTTGCCTGGGTTGAGGTAAGGAAGCATTGATTGTTTCCAGGTTATCCTACTGATTGTTTTCTTTGGGCAGGTTTTCCACTGCCAGCTGATTGTCCCTTCCTGTGTGCAGGTTATCTGCTGCCTGCTGATTGTCCCTTCCTCTGTGCAGGTTATCCGCTGCCTGCTGATTGTCCCTTCCTCTGTGCAGGTTATCCGCTGCCTGCTGATTGTCCCCAATCCCGAGTCAGCTCTGAACGAAGAGGCAGGACAGCTGCTGCTGGAGGCCTACGACGACTACCACGCCAGAGCCAAGATGATGACTGAGATACATGCCATGGTGACTGACTTAGTTAATATGTACAAGTAAACTATTTGAATATAAGGGTGAAGAGTGCAAGGGTAGCCGTTTTGCATTGATGAAGGCAAGCAATCCTTAACTGTTTAATAAAACATTTTTTCTGTGTACGGTATTCAGAACTGTGGCATTCAGCTCCTTGCTATGATGCATTCTATTTCTTAACCTATTTTTACTAGGCGCATCAATTCGATGACATTATCAACTGATTTCTGCCATAAATCTTAAGCCTTAATGAATGTTTGGCAACTTTAAAACTCATTGAACTTGTTTTAAAAATCATGATATGATTCAGAAAAATTCCTTATGTGGCGATCGCCATCATCCTTAAATTAGGTTTGGTACTTTTTACACTTTTGTTCAGTTATCTTCATGCATAGAAAATTACACCGCGGCATCTCTCCTCGCACGTAAACTAAGTTATTGTGTTGAAAGTATCATGTGGGAAAATATATTCACTTTCTGAGTTTCTTTCTTTTAATGGAAAAGCTTGCACTGTCGCGCTAATATTTTCGTAGAAGCCTTGTCCTCAGCTAACTTGACCTCAGCTAACTTGTTCACATTCTACGGCAGAGCAACAAGACGAAGTGTGAAGGCGTTGAGGAGGAACACGAAGGGCCAGCTGCCAAGAAGCACGCGTCTGACAAGGTCGTGGCTGACAAGAAGAAGCAAATTAAGGACAAGAAACGAGCCCTTAAGAGGCTATAACGTGAGCCTTAAAAGGCTATAACGTGAGCCTTACAAGGCTATAACGTGAGCCTTACAAGGCTATAATGCGAGCCTTACAAGGCTATAACGTGAGCCCTTGAAAGGCTATAAAGCAAGTGCTGATGTCTTGAACTTGCCGCAAGCAACAGCAATCAAGCCTTCACCTGCCTGGCATCTGACGTTGAAATAATGTCGATTAAACGATGTTTAATGTTGTTTGAAGTAACGTCGATTGAAGGTTGTTTCACAAAATAAATTAGTTCGTAATATTGTTTCAACGTCATTCGCGTGGTGGGGTGTAGGCTGCTTCATTCTATGGCATTTTTAGTCCATTATTGTCTATGTTTCACTGACATTTACTGATAGTGTTCAGCTAACCTACCTACAACTCATTGTTTTCAGTTCGTCTTACTTCACGTCCATTAGAGATAATATCTTAACTTTTCAGGCTAATATTCTTATGTGAATTGATGCACATGGAACACGATTAGAAAAACTATTTCTGGAAAATGATGAGAAAAAATATTTTCCTCCATGATATTTTAATTTGTTAAATGTCAGTGTTGACCGTTTCATTAGAACTTCCTATGAGTAATTTGATAGCTGTAACCAATTAGTTTTCTCACAACATTGCTCTAGTTTCATTGCAATTTATATCTATGTCTGATGATGCACTTCTCATTATCTGAAGATTTCCCTCAGCCTCACTAAAAATATTCGTTCATTATGAGGAACTAAGTCCATTTGTTCATGCCAGGTGGTATAATATTAGTGAGCTTCGTATCATCATTTTTAATGGACATTCTCCAGGCGTAGGTTTCATTTGAATCACTCCATTCGACTCGACGAATAAGTTTAATTAAACTTTACTACACTCGGAAGTGGAAGAAAAGTTTTTTAATATACCCTATTTATTATGAGCAATTCCCGAATGTAAAATGTCGTTATTAAATTCCTTGTACGGATGATCTGGACTCAACATATGAATGACTTACATGAGATGTTTGTGATAAGGAGTAGGTTTACCTTGGGTCTGTTGTCTGACATCCCCTTGAAAAACAACGAATATTTAGAGGCAATATAGACCGCCTGCATCTCTCCATACCGTGGCAATATAGACCGCCTGCATCCCCCCATACCGTGGCAATATAGACCGCCTGCATCCCCCCATATCATGGCAATATAGACCGCCTGCATCCCTCCATACCGTGGCAATATAGACCGCCTGCATCCCTCCAAACCGTGGCAATATAGACCGCCTGCATCCCCTCCATACCGTGGCAATATAGACCGCCTGCATTCTTCCAACTATTTATACGCGTGCGATTAACGACCAGAGAATTCGTTGATTTAAATTATCAAAGAGTCAGACAATTCTTCAGATGACATTGGTAGATCGAAAGGCATATATCGGGAAGTAGTTTTAGTTTATTAACGACGTTTCGAATGTAACGAACATTCATTTTCAAGTTACAAAGAGCATTAAATATTAACATTTTGGTGGAAATAAGTACATGATATACGTAAATAGGATACTACAGTAAAATTTTGAATCAGAAAATCACTCTGAAAATTATTTCAAAGTTCAGGCAAATCAGGTAGTTAAGAATGAGATAGCAGGCGTCCAATCCGTAGAGACGATGAGGCTAGCCATCTTCGGTCGATTGATGTCAGGCCACTGCTTGATGACAATGCTGGTGGGTTCCTTCAGCACAAAGCGAGTGACGGTCTGGTTGAGATTTTCGCGTGTGATTCACTTGCCCTCCGGGTTGGAGGTAGCTAATAAGACAGCGTCTCGGTGTCCTGGTTGTTGATCCAAAGTGTCCGATGTAGTCCAAAAGATGAAGAAGTCTACAACCTTCTTTGAAGCAAAATTTATAGACCACAACGGCCTCTCGGAAAACTCCCGAGTTTTTGCAAGGGCCATTATCGCGTTTAGTTGGGAGTTTGATGACGTTGTCACGAAGCCTGTTAAATTCATCGCCAATTTTGAGATGAAGTTGCTTATTTGTACTGCTTTGAGACCTGGTCTGGTTGTTAGCTTGTCTCAGGTGGTAGTAGAAACGGCTGTTCAATGTCACAATTGTTACCCCAATGATTCCAATATAATCCAAATAATGAAGAAGTCTACAACCTTCTTTGAAGCAAAATTTATAGGATACATCGGGTCCTTGGAGAACTCTCGCTTCTTTGCAGGTACCGTTGTTGCGTATATTCTGAGTTTTGACTTTATTAAGAGTGTCACGAAGCCTGTTGAATTCATCGATGATCTTGAGATGAAGTCGCTTCTTTGTAATACTTTGAGACCTGGTCTGGTTGTGAGCTTGTCTCAGATCTGAGGTTCTGTGGAAGTTAAAATGAAAGATATATTTCAAGAAAAGAAAACTAATTTACAGAATTAGCTGGTGAACATTTAAAGGATATAATATGATTTAGTTTAATAAAGTTCTTAAAACAACGAGAAGCCGGGTAAAAAATCTTCGAAATCTTCAGTTGACTTTGAAAACTACAACAGATCTTGGAATTCAATATTTAAAAACTTACGAAGAACCGATACTAAGTGGATACAAAATATACTTTGTCCTAAGAATGGATACACAGTGAATTGAATGATATTTAATAATATGATAACAGGAGAAAATACATATATTACTCTCTAATTCCACTCATTGTGTACTCTCTACTTATATTAAAAAAAGTTTAAGCGGTAACAGTCTGATTCTCAGCTGATAATTTGTAGTCTATGTTCTAAGCTTGTAAATACAGTTCTTTTTCTTTCAGCAATAACCCACTTGTATTATTCTCTATTAAAATCATTAAACGTTGAACTCAATTGATTCTGGCTGTAATAAACTCTCTCCACGAGCCTCTGGAGAAAAAAAATGACATTTCCGTACAGTCTAATTTTCTGAATGAAATAGTTTCTTATAAGTTTAGATTAGTTTACGTCATCGACGCAATGTTACGAAACAATTTTTACGCCAAACTAATTTTCTTAATTCTTAATAAAACATTTTCCAATGTAGTTCATTGTCAGGTTCAAGGAAGTAAATTAATTTATTAACGACGTTTCGAATGTGACATCATTCATTTTCAAGTTATAGGAAGCATTGAATACTGAAATTTAGGCGGAAATAAGTACATGATACACGTAAATATGATACAACACGAAAATTTGGAACCGTGAAAATAATTCCGAAACAATCTCAAAGTTCAGAAAATCCGGCAGTTATGAGACGAGTAGCTGGAGTCCAATCCGTAGAGATGAGGGCTTCAGCTATCATCGGTCGAATATGTCGGGCCACTGCACGATGAAGATGCTGGTGTGTTTCTCCGGCACAGTGGGAGTTGTTGTCAAGGGTGTCAGGGAGCCTGTTGGATTCATCACGGATCATGAGATGAAGTTGCTCGATGGTAAGACTTTGAGACCTGGTCTGGTTGCGAAATTGTCTCAGGTGGCAGGAAAAACAGCTGCTCAATGTCGTTGAAGTTACTCCAATTACTCTAATGTAGTCCAAAAGATGAAGAAGTCTACAGCCTTCTTTGAAGCAAAATTTATAGATCACATCAGATTTTTGAAGAACTCCTTTTTTGAAGGGGCCGTTGCTGAGTACAGTTCGGTATTTGACGTCGTTGTCAAGGGTGTCACAGAGCCGGTTGAATTCATCACGGATCTTGAGATGAAGTTGCTCGATTGTAATACTTTGAGACATGATCACTGGGGAACTGGGACGCGATTGCTGGGGAACTGGGACGCGATTGCTGGGGAACTGGGACGCGATTACTGGGGAACTGGGACGCGATTGCTGGGGAACTGGGACGCGATTGCTGGGGAACTGGGACGCGATTGCTGGGGAACTGGGACGCGATTGCTGGGGAACTGGGACGCGATTGGTGGGGAACTGGGACGCGATTGCTGGGGAACTGGAACGCTTAATTAATAAAAATAAATAATTATGCTAGCAAAGGAAGAAAGGAGTTTAAACTACCAATGATGGGAACAATTTTTTGCAATTTAGAAGGATAAAAATTGCTCATTCAACTTTGCAGGGAAGCTAATAGTCTACATGAAAACTGAGACACAAAAAGATAACTAGGAAGGATGAAACAAGTTAAGTGGAGAACAGTTCAGAGCAATTTGTGTTCGTCCTAACTGGTCAATACAGAGGGTAACCTGCTTACGCGTATGCAAGTGTAGGGGAGCGTGATCAGGTGTAATGGCTGCCAAGTTGCGGCAAATATTAAAGCAGTTTTATTTACTCAGACTGTTGTATTAACCAAATTATAACCGAGTGTACCCGGCAGTTGGTTATAGCGCTCTGCACAGCCCGCCTTCGTCTGCAGTCGACGGAGGTAGTGGAAGAAATGCCATCACTGAAAAAGTTCAGAAGACGTGCGTTGCGAAATTCAATGAAGACGGCACGGTGAAACTGCCTGAGTTGTACATGTGAGTTCAAATTAAGGAATTATTAAGCCTATATTCTAGCTCGGAGGCATGTGACACTAGAAAATAGATTGTATTATAAAAAAATTCCTACATGTGCGAATTGAAATTGAAAACTGCAAGTGCTTTTTACAGAACGGAATACCAGCAATTGGAAATATTCAATAACAAATAAATTTGAATAAAATGCATTTAACGTAGCTTAAAAATATGGTGATACGAAAGAAATCACGAGTGAATTCTGCTAGAATCTCAAAAAATAAGGAAACAATCTTCCCAAATTGTACGATACTGACGAGTTATGAAGACGAAGTAACGTCTAAATTAATAAGCCAATAACGTACTAACTTGTGACCGCACGTGCCACCAGAGACGTGGTGCCAGACGTCGCAGCGTCCAACGTCTACTTGATGGAGACGTCGTCTGCAGCAGCCCTGCCCCCCAGGGGGCTCTGTTCGGTGGAGAGGTGATGATAGTGATGAGTGGTGACTATTGAATTATGCTTATCACTTATGATAGGGCATGTATGGTGATGAAGGACTGTTGATGGTTACTTACGTTACTTAATTTAACAAAGCTCCGGAAGTCACTCGTCGGCGGACGATAGATTTTGGAACAGAACTATGGTATCTGAAACCCAACCCAATATGCTATGAGCTGAAAGTTTCGTAACTCAACGAAACGTCGGAAGTCATGTTCGATCCGTGGTCTGGTGGCGCACGGCAGGATTCATGCAGTTCCACTGGTGTGCTGGGCTGGTTGGTCGCAGTCCGTTGTCCGCTGGTTGCAGTTCGAGCTAAAGTCAGGGTATGAAGTGATGGTTCGATGTTACGTTCAGTGATGGACGAGCATAACACTCTGGGCTATTGCTTCAGAACATGGTAGCGTAAAGCTCTTGATATTTAAAACAAGATGATGTCATGGGCTGGTAACTGACGGCAGGATTAATACGCGGCTGATTGGTGGCCTTTCGGAAATATGCTAGGCGTTCTATTCAGGGCAGATTGGTGCACAAAATTGGTGGCGCACGTCTGCGTTCCCGCAGGATTCAGTACGTATGTTAGTTAAGCAGAAAATTGATGGTTTTCGTTTCAAAATGAATCATAATTCGTTCAAATGATATAAATATGTGAGGGAAGATGACAATTATTATGTCAATTAATGATGCATGTGGTTTATTTTTATTCAGGTTTGATGACGATTCGTTGGACTGATGTGCGAGGACTTGCGTCAATAAATAATTATTTTATAAACATTATTTAGTATTATGCGACGGTAAATTCTCATTTTCCTCAGTGCTAATCTCCATAATTTTTAACGGTCGATGTCAACCCCGTTTTATCTTACTATATATTATATAAAATTACTCAAAATTTGTTCAAAAGCCGGACAAATTTGGATAGGTTTCCCGACTGTGGTTAGAATGTCGGAAATTTTTGCGTCTAGTAGTTCCTCCTTCAATTATTTGGTATTTAATTAAGGAGCGTGGATGCCACGTACGTGTGGCTAAACGGGAGAAAAATAGTCCACGGGTTTTATCCGGTTTATTTCATAAGGGTGACGCAAGAAACTGCACACAAGGGTTGAGATTAGGTACTGGCCTGGGAACAGGTCTTTAGACAACAATAATAATAGTTGGCAACATTGTAAGAAATACGAAATAAGCTGATCTAGGAACTTGTGAAACATCGTTATCGGCATAAGCAGGGTTGTATCGAATCCAAGAGTAGGGGCTGCAAAACATCGATCCTTTTTTAAATGTAGCAAGAAGATCATTCCTAATTGCTCGTGGCCTGAGCTCTTAGAGCTATAAGGTACTAGCTACGTTAATATAAACTAGCTTACGTTAGAATAATGATGGAGGCGCTCTGCGTTACAGTACTAGTGTATTAATCGCAATATGGAGACTGTTTCAGATATCGTCTCGGATCTGCGTCTGAGGGGAAGACATCGTTAAGATCAGCAACATCACTTAAACCGCTTACTATTGATTTAGGTAGGGGGAGGCGAAGTGATCTAGTATTCGGACGATCTTCACCACGTGTCCTGTCTCGCCTAGGTTTCTGCAAGGTATCGGTTAAGGTAAGCGCATAGATCTAGACAACCAAATAATGCTAGTTATGTCTATACTAGACACTTAGAGTAGAGAGTTATGATTCAAGAGGGGAACATGGCTATAGTCTGCCATGTTCAGTGACGCAATGTTCAGCGACGCCATGGTCGCCATATTGGTTTCTGAACTAACTCCTGGTAGATAAATCTAGATAAAAACCCTGAAAATGACAATATAATGCTAGTGAACTGCTATGAATGAGCATTGAGGAATTACTACTAGATACTCAAGGTAAAAGGTTATGATTCAAGAAGAGAATATGGCTAGTCCGCCATGTTCAGCGACGCCATGGTCGCCATATTGGTTTCATGGCCGGTACCGGGACGCTTCGGAAATTTCCTAGGTTTTCACGTTAGATAGGGACGTCACAAATCAATAACAACACTCTAAATGCTATTGTAATATAATAAACACATCACTGAGTAGCCGCGAGATTGCTATGGGATTCGATGAGCTTTCATCGAATGATTTTCGACACATGGGTTAGCTATGGTAGAATAGATCCGCAATTTTCATTTCAGGACTCGGTGGCTCACACGCTCATCGTTCTACGGTTGGCACGCAATTTATATAGGCAAATGATGACGTTAATAACTTAAGGTTACTTATCGCTAGTAAAAAATACACGCTGGTCCGGGTAAGCGCAGTACAGGTGCTTACGTTATATCACTGCAGAGCAGACTGAGGCTTGGGTGTACGTAAAGCTTCTAACGGGGCAGCGAGGCTTGCTTGTCCCGAAGAAAACGGGGTGACGTTTGAGGTGGACTATGTTAAAGTTTTGCTGGGTATAGATGAAGGGTGTGGGTTGATCTGACGAGCGTCCTAGAGCGACGTCACAGTGGAAACAAAAAGTATAAAAAACTTTACATGATTTCACAACACAAACCTCATTAGGCAAGGATTAGGGCTATAAACCGTATTTACAAAACAAACTCTATACTAATGTTACGGATGTTGCGACAAGATAGCACAATTTTTTTACATTTAATAGCAAATTAAGAGGCCCGTGGACGCGCTCAGCCGCGGTAGTCGTCTATGGAAATTCTTAACTATGAATTCGACAGATAACTCCCCTTATTAGTAAGATAAAAATCTGAAATTTGGAATGCTATAATGGCTAATTATCTTCAACCTGTGGACATTAAGATAAATTATGTAAACTTTGTATTACCAGTGTTATCGCTAACGAAAATTTTGAACCATGAGGATCGTAAAACGAGCGACTCTTCTAACATTTTCGCGATACCAGTTTGTTTAACTCGTTATTCTTCATTGATCGCTATACCAAGCATTTCTGAATAATTTTTCTGGTGGTAGTTATATTAGTTTTTAACAACAGGTCCGTGAATTTTCCGTAGATTTAATCGAGATTTGCCCCTCCGTTGTCGTACTTGGCAGGAGAGGCAGGCCTGTCCTCTGGTAATACTGTAAATCTTCTGTGGGTCCGCGGTAAACATCCTCCCTCTCCCCCCCCACACACTTTGCAGTCCACTCAGCTTTCAAAGCGCTTCTCTGGTGCTGGAGTGACTTTTAAAAGGCCAAGACTATGTATTGTCAGTCATATAATATTGTTAAGCTGGTCCTAAATAAATGGCATGCGTTACGATGATTACGGAGAAATAATCTTAATTGCGTTTCAAAATGTGAAGCAAACGAATGCATAAACAACACAATTCAAACAACAATGCAATCAATGGAGCGTTCATGTCGATATGCAAATTTTCAATCTCTAGTAAAATGAAATCTCTAGCACAGGAAAAGGGTAATTCAGTCAAAGTTGGAAATCCATCAGTTTAAATCACTCGAATTTCTTATTTCTACTGATGATGACCATAACCGTACCGCTATTGATGATGACCATGACCGTACCGCTACTGACTATGACCGTCACCGTACCGCTACTGACTATGACCATGACCGTACCGCTACAGACTATGACCGTGACCGTACCGCTACTGACTATGACCGTGACCGTACCGCTACTGACTATGACCGTGACCGTACCGCTACTGATGATGACCATGACCGTACCGCTACTGAAACTATAACCATGACCGTACCGCTACTGATGATTACCGGAACCGTACCGCTACTGACTATAACCATGACCGTACCGCTACTGATGATTACCGGAACCGTACCGCTACTGACTATAACCGTCACCGTACCGCTACTGACTATGACCGTGACTGTTCCGCTATTGATGATGAGCGTGACCGTAGTGCTATTGATAACCGTGGCCGTACTGCTATTGATGATTCCTGTAGATTTTTTACATTGTATTGTCGGAGTGGTAGTTGCATAAATCTCACAGCCTCACACTGTTGTCGGCTGTTAGGTTTAAAACAAAGATGGTCGTTTACAATTTGGGTGTGTAGGGAATAGGATGAGGGTGAGCTTTGAGAGGGGAAGAGACATCCTTCCTGCTCGAATTCCTGTGTAGTCTGTGGTTAGGAAAATCCCGCCGACAAATTACCGGCGTACGCTGTGCTTCTTGGTTAATCCTGCATAAATTCTTTCACCAAATCAATAAACCGGCTCATGTTTATTAAAGAGCTGGCATACGCCTTGTGTGTTTTGTACAGCATCAACTGAATGTTCTCATGTAAATAGTCTAAATTAGAAATTGTCCTTTGTTAATATGTAATACTAGCTTCACTTCTATCAGTTTCACATTCATTGCATGAATTACTCATGAAGAAAATTCACCTCATTATAATAAATGACAAGGGTGAGAATATTCATGTCATGAAAGAAACAAAATATTATATATTATTATATTATGTATAATATATTATATTATATATTAAGAAGCAAATCAGCAAACTGTTTGAACATTTCCTCATATTTTACCATATTTTATGATTTGAAATTTCTCGCACTTAATATTGCAATTGATGTTTCTGGAAGAGCTTCTAATTAAATAAATAAAATCATAACAAAATAATCCGTTTGCAACTATTACAAATATTGGGAGCGATATTGACGATGGTGTTGTTCATGAATTCATGAGTACATATTCAAATAACGTTGATATTTAAATGTTTCAATTTATAAATTAGTTAACATTGTTACCTTACAATATCTATTAATGAATGATACCCGTCAGTCAGTCCATCAACAAATTTATATAAGATTACGAAGGAGCGTGTAACTATACAGTGTATCCAATAACTATACATTGCAGCTAATACCTATACAGTTATGAATAGTTATAGTAGGTAGGTGAGGGGACGAAGTGACACACCACACTCAGACGCTGCCATCAGCCTACACCAGTAAATCACTCCTCAACCCTCACCTACCCCACTCATCCGTTACACCGTTGTCCTCAGTTACACAATACTGCTGTTGTCTCGAGTCTATACACGCAGTTCTGCTTTGGTAGTGTAGCGCGGACTTCGAAAGAAAAAGAAATTATCACGAAGAAATGAATGTGAAAGAAATGAAGAAAGAAACGAAGAAATGAATGTCAAACAATTTCGCACAGTTCGTCAAAGAATTTTTTAGCCTTCCCAGCGAGTGCATGCGTGAGATCATGTGTAGATTTAAATGCGTTAGAGGGGGTATTTGTAAAAATCTCCCCCCAACCGCTACCTCCTCCCTAAGTCCCCCCGCTTCCCCATCGTTGAATTCCTCTCAAGTCTAAACCAACCAGCCGCGTGAGGAGATGCAAAGAGTGGAAGCTGGCTTTCTACTGAATAGGCGTGAACTGCGTACTCATTTTTACAGGAATTTGATAGCCGACAATATTCACAAAAAATTGCTTTGTGTGTCATAAAATTAAATAATGAAAGCAATCAAAGCTTTAATTCAAATAATAATTGCCATGACACATTTTTGCACATTACTGTTGATGCTTCGTTACTTATATGCATTTTTATTGACATGAAATTATAGTATTCACATATGCTCGAGCGATCTTTACACGTGCTTATATGAAACATCCTAAATTAACTTGGTTGTGCTATCACGACACAGCATTACCGTAAATTATGAACGCGTATTGTCAATAAAGGTTATTAGTAAGAAAACAACCAATTTGAAAATAGAGTAAAATTTCGTATAATAATTAGTAGTATGTTGCTCGCTGATTAAAAATGTCGAGAAGGGGAAGCGAAGGAGGGCAAGTGTGCAGCCAGACGTAGGATGTGGCAGACGTTAGACGGCAGAGCCTGGCCGAGAAATTTTAACCGCGTGAGGCCGTTTGGGCTTGATGCTGCGTTCACCGACCGCTCCACGGGACTCTTAAGAACTTACAAATTCAAATTACAAATTAATCATAGTCCGGTTTGGGAGTATGATTAGTTGCAAAATCCGACTATGATTAGTTGACTAATGATCATTTTAAATTTGCTTTTTAATATACAAAACCCTGTGCTACCTGGACCTATCCTCAGCATCTCAATATAATTACCACAGTGTTTTTAATACAAGTGTTTGAACCCCAACCTACGAGGTTGGCATAAAAGAGCTTGTGGTGGTTTGTTGTTCATTTATTTACCATCGTTTGTTGTTTATTTATTTTATATATTTATATATATATTAGTTTTGGATGGCAGAATTAGTTTATTTTTACGCGTGCGATTAACGACCAGAGAGTTCGTTGATTTAAATTATCAAAGAGTCGGATAATTCTACTTTGAAATAATTTTCAGAGTGATTTTCTGATTCAAAATTTTACTGTAGTATCCTATTTACGTATATCATGTACTTATTTCCACCAAAATGTCAATATTTATATATATATGTATATTTATCTATATAGATATTTTTAAAATGTCGCACAATTCACGACGCCCCGTAAACAACCCAACTTTGACGCGCTTTTGACCGACAGTCGAATAGATATTACATTAGTCATTGACTTAATATGATGATATATTAATATAATTATATAAGGATTATCTTCCTTGTTAAGCACATTTTTCCTAATCTTCCCAGTTACTGCAAACTGAATCCCCACGCATCTGTTTGGTTCTTTGTGACGTCTAACTCCTTTGAACCCTCGACGTTGGCTGCCTTGAAGGCACTTCAGGCCGCCTACCAGAACTTGTGCGTGGTTCACCTCAACTTCACCAGGCATTTCGAGGACACTCCGTTACTAGAACTTTACCTCTCCAAAAAGTTCAATGAAACAGGCAAGCAGCTGCTGAATTGAAATGGTGTCGTAAAAAAGTCTGAGTCTACCCTTAATTAAAATGTTAATATAATCTGGGTTTGTTTGGTCTGTAGCATTTGATAAAGTATGTCAAACTTGACTGTACCTAGACTGAAGTTCAACAGCAATGAGGTTTTCAATAACAGTCGAATTAGCATTCAAATTCGTTGATACCGTTGATGCGCAATGTGGGAAAAAACATTTAATTTTTCACAGCTTACAAAATCAACAACCTGAGCAACTTAAGCCGCCTGGTGATGGTGTACAAGTTCGGGGGCTTGTACTCAGACATGGACATCATCGCCCTGCGCCCCCTGGTGGGCGTCACCGACTTCATCTCCCTCGAGGTGCCCCGAACGCACGACATTATACATGAAATAGAGATGCATATATCATGTAACTTCATTGCCCTGCAGGTGTCCACAATCAACCAATATATATAACGTAGAGTTTCATGTAACTTCTTAGCATATATAATATAACAGAGCTGCATTCAACATGTAACTGCTTGGCTGTGCGGGTGCTCCCTAACATGATACTGCCAATCATGGCGAGTTTTGTGATCATCGGAGCACACGTTTTTTTAAATAAATATTTTCGTTGAGTGAGTAGATCAAAAGAGTTTGAGAATGAAATTTTATATCTACATTGAAAATGTCACGCGAAAATATGTGTTTACCTGTCGATACACATAGGAGGAAAAGAAATATATATTCCGACATCTATAGAAAAACCAAAATTGATAATATTTATCTTTTTATTTAATGCAAGAGCGCTGAAGATTAATTACAAAGCAATATTCATTTGAGAAAGCCGATGGAGTGGATATTCTACGTACCATTTCTACGCAATAATTGATAAATCAATGCACGTTTTAAATCATTCCAAAACATTTTTCATTATATTGCGGTGGTTTCAAATACCAATGTCAATTGAAAAATGTCAAAGAAGAATATAATATAACTTCATAAAATAATGTATGCTTCATAAAATCATGTATGAACAAATAAAATTGGAATAAATTTGTTATGCTTTCAGAGAAGCATCAACCAACTTACCAACAGCATGCTTCGCATGCGGCGCCAGCACCCCATGTTCCTCAGCGTCATGCGGCACTTAGCGGCCAACTATAACGTGAGGGCATGTTGGGCCATGTGGCCTAGCGCCATAAGGAACATAGCGGCCAACTATAACGTGAGGGCATGTTGGGCCATGTGGCCTAGCGTCATGAGGCACATAGAGGCAAACTATAATGTGAGAGCATGTTGGGCCATGTGGCCTAGCGCCATAAGGAACATAGCGGCCAACTATAATACGATCTTGTATAACATGGTAAGTATAGTATGCCTCCGTCTGTCTGGCAACGTTGGGCATCCCAGGTTATGGAACTGTTATCCAACTATCCAAGTCCAGTGGAAATGATGCGAGACCTGCCGCGCTGCTCCACGTTGCACTCTTTCGGGAATGACAATATCTTCTGCTGTATGAGGATCCCACACACAACTGCAGTGCTCCATTATGGGGCAGGCTAATGCTTTATAGTCGGTTGCGTTGCTGGATTTCGTCTAATGAAGCCTAGGGTACGGTTTAACCATGTTATTGATGTTAGAAATATGTGGCTTTCACTTCAGCTTCTTGGAAAGTGTTTCCCCGAATACGTCACCTGGATTTCTTCTATCAGCAGGTACCCACGCTTTCTGGATCCTACGGCAAGTCAAGTGGGCAAGTCAAGTGAAACGTGGAGTATTTTTGAGGGTGGAAGGACATCTTACATCGCTGTTCTTATGCTATAAGAGCATTCACTGCAATTAGTATGGAATCTTCGTCTTCGGCTGTTTTGATTGTCTTGTGGCATGCAGTGTCGTCAGTGAAAAACCTTGGCCTTGCGGAGAGTCCGGCATGAAGATCGTTTATATACAATAGGAAGAGCGTTTGGCCCATAAAGGAATCCAAAGGGACCCCCGATTCCACTGGACAGAACTCTGAATATGATCTGTTGTTCAAAACAGACTGCATTGTCACATAGGAAATTCCGGATCCAGGCTTCTCCCTTTACGCTGATAAAATAGTGGTGGAGTTCGTAGAGCAACAGGTTGTGGCTCACTTTGTCGAATGCTTGCGAAAAATCCAAAACGATTTAAGTCCTCCTCGAATCCTAGCTCGAGAGTTTTTGAAACCTCATCCATAAGGCCAAACAACTGAGTCTCACATGAGGGACCTCTGCAGAAGCCATGCTATTCTTTACAGTGAATTTTGTGCTCCTCACAATAAGAAATTATGTCACTAATGAGTGTATGCTCCAAGGGCGCACAGGGGATACAGGTCAGCGAGACGGGTATGTATTTCTCAGCACAGTGATGTTCTCGTTTCTCGAAAATAAGGCACACGTGCTCAATCTTCGAGTTCGTAGGCACTCAACGTCAAGGCACGTCTGGTCCAGGTGATCGATGGGGCTAGTTCTGTCGGCAACCTGTTCAATACATGGGGGCTAATCCGTCAAGGCCACAAGCCTATGAGAGGTCAAAATTACGAAGCAGTTCCTCAACACCAACCTTTGACTTGTGTAACTGCTCCAAGAGTCCTCTGTAGGCGTCCAGCGGTGGCATAGGGCATCTCGTCTTGAACTATTCCTCTGCGAAATCCTCATGGCTAGTTAACGCGGACTGAAACTGCCGGTTTACAATTTCAGCTCTGACTTTGTTGTTTGAGACGAGTTTTCGTGTTTCTGTGAGAGGTCAGATACCAGGATTTCTTCTTCTTTTCAGAGGAGAGATACCAGGATTTTTATTATGTCTATATTTAGGCTGGGTTCACACCACGCTGCCGGGTACGTGCTGGGAAAATGCCTGTCACGGTTCAGTCCAATATTCTTTAGTACTTTTCCATACAATCATTTACACCATGGTCATGGCAAGTGTCTTGCTTCTATAGAAATGCAATAAAGAATACAAGACTGGACCGTGACTGGCATATGCTTGGCACGGGCTCGGCAGTATGATGTGTAGAAGGCTCTAATAAAAGACTAAAAGCGTTGGATGGGGCGGTGCTGCTCAGCCTACTCCTCCGTGATGAGACCTTCCGCATACATCCAGTACTGCCTCTTCAATCTCTGCTGCACTAGTTTTTTTAGTGACTTGGATGCAGTGTGGCGATCCTGTCTTTCAGTTTTCTTCGTCTTTTTGTGCAATCAGTCTCTCCAGCTGATGAGCTTCAGTGTCTAGTAATTTCTCTACGGGTGATTTTTTCTGTGCCCAATCTATTTGTGTGGTCAGCTGCTTGGTTGCTGATAACCCGCCCCTAACATTATAAGCGATCGCCATTCAATAATTGCTTATATCAATAGTTAGGTAACATGTATTGTTTTCACGCTGTCTCGGCGAGTTTTGACTATAGCTGGACAGCAGAAGTATCAGGTTCAATTTAAAGAGTTGACACGGGTGATATGGTGCATGAAAAGAAGAGGAAGAATGCGTTGAAGGCTGAAGTGCGGGGAAGATATCGGAGGTTATAATGAAGACGTTATCGACCCTTCAACATGATTAGTATGTTGGCAAAAGTGCCAGAGGAGCTTATTATCTATTGGAGCAGAGTCAACCTAAAGCGGCCCCTAGACGGTCAATATTATTGCGCAATATTATTGAGCATCTAGGGGCGATATTGACAGGATGTGTAAGATATTTTGCGTTTTCAGAATCTCGAAAATACATTGCGCAACTTCATTATTTTTCAGTAACGTCTAACTCAATTTAATTATTTCCATTTTAGTTCAGAGTGATTTATTTGCACAGCTAACGACAGCCGCGTTTGATTCAGTTCCGCCATTTAGTACCTAGCAGCCACTGGCATTCCGTGTATTGTGTTAGCCTGGAAGTGAAAGCCTTGTGTCACTGTCACTCTAGTGTCTAGTCCTAAAGCCTAAAACAGCCAACAGTGCTCATAACCCTTATCAGTGAAACTGCCAGTTAAAGCCGACTGATCAATGTCACACTCTTCACTTGTTCCATTTGTTTTGCAATACTATCCCTAAATATATTTTTAATAGAAAATTCTTTCATTTAAAGTTTAAACAAGATTAATAGCTTCCACTGTTTAACTCTGAAGTGGACAACGGGTTTGTCCCACCCGCTAGCACGGTAACAATGTCAATCGGGTGTGTTTATCACGGCGGGCGGAAGAAACTTCTTCTAGACTTTATTGAGATTTAAAGTGGACCTTCAAGATTCAATGGATATTTAATTTAAGGATTATACTAATCATTTACAGGAGCCAGTTTAATTCATCGATGATCTTGAGATGAAATTGCTCGATTGTAATACTAAGAGACCGTTTCAGATGCTTTTCTGAGTCTCTAGTTTTCATATTTTTGACCTCACTGCTGATTTTTCTTGCAATTGGTTCAGTTCTGTGTCTCACAGTAATCATTTTCTCTCCTGCTGCCGGGTCTTTATTGCAAAAATTAGTTTTGGATGGCAGAAATAGTTTATTTATACGCGTGCGATTAACGACCAGAGAATATATAACGTCCGGAGCTTTCTCCGGACTATTCTTATGATGATTCTATAATTATTTAATGTAATAAACTTAATATGGTAAGTATTAATATTAAAATGAACAAGATATTAGTTCTAGGTTGCGAGATATGATATACATAATGGCAGTTTTATGTAGCGAGATCCGCTACATTCAGGGCAGGGTGGCCCAGTGGTTACAGTTCAGAGTACCAAGATTGGAGCAGAGAGGCGCGGGTTCGATCCCAGTTCTGTGCGCCAGTTTCTGGTCAGAATCAGCAAGGAGGCCGGGCGGTTAAACACAGCAGAATTGGAGCAGTGAGTTGTGAGTTCGAGACCGCAACAAGCGGTGAATGTTCTGCGATGTTAAGAATCGGCGACAAGACTACGACTTAATAAACGCTGAAATCGCTATTATTTATTTATTATTATGAGCCTCCCGCATGTGATTCCTAGGTCCTCCAGATTGTAGCATGTGAGTTGGCAACTTAAGGTCGTGCTAGTGTGAATAATGTAGTTTATATTTGGAAGAAGTCTACATCTTTCTATATTACAGTAAAATTCAAAACCAACATTTGTTTCTTGATGCAATCCAGATTTTATACAAGGATTATTATTCATGACATGGTTACTAATTTTTTTTATTTTCGCCGCAGATCAAAAGTTTTTGCAAATATAAAGATTTTTAATATAAAATATTCTCTGGTCTTCAATCCAACTTGCGTAAAGGAAGACATAATGGAACTAGTCAACCTTGAAGAAAGCCTTCTGCCGATTTACACCGATTTTCTGAAATTTCTAAACCTGCGGACGTCCCGGGTTTTTGGGCTCCTGATGCTTTCGTTTTCGGGGCCGGGCCGGGCTGAGAGAGTCAGCTGGCTGCTGTCGTACTATATGATTACTCGGGAGAAACAAAAGAAGGCGCAAGTACAAGTCGAGGACATTTGCATCGTCTAGTCTTTGAACAAATCAAAATTTGAATAATATATAAACAAACTGTTACAAATCAACTTACAATCGTAACAATGCCTACTGGAAGGCTGAAACGTAAAAAAAAGTACCAAGGAGACTCGGTATCAGAATCTTCTGATGCCTCTGAGATCAACTCTGTACAGACTGTAC